TTTTTTGTCAGGTAAGCGGGGGGAAGTGGGAAAAAGGGGGGGGGGGGGGAAGGCCGTCTCTAAGTGCCTCAGTCTTCCACTATGGAGAGAGATGCGCAGATGAGCGTTTGGAGATGACCGTGTCTGGTAGTGAACACAAGGAGGTAAGCAGAATCCCTCTCTGTCGAGTGTAACTTTGTGTTATCCCATCTGGTGTCTGCAGCTAATTAAAGGTCGGTGAACACACAGAAAATTAAGCGTATGATTGTGAAAGCAAACAGAAACTTAGGAATTAGAAGAGCAGAGCAGCAGCTCTTTCTTGACTTGTGAAACCTGCTGCATCCTCAGTATTTAAAAAAGATTTCAGGTGCCTCAGCGCAGGTTATGGAAACTTAATCCCTTTTAAAAACAAAATAAACCTATTGGGAACCATTCAGCACTCTCCTGAAGTGCAGACTATCCAATATTGGGGTGGAAATACAGTAATCTTTCCACTAATTGCATTCAGTCATGTCAGAAGGCCGTGCAACTTTTGGACCACATTTCCCAATAATAGGGGACAGACAAAATATTTATTCACATTAATCTGATGAAATAAATGAAACACTGGGATGTTTCCATAACGTTGGACTAAAATTTGGGTATTTCAGTATTGCTGATCTTCATCCTGTTCTTCTAGGGCTCTGACCTGTAGTGAAAGAGGAGAGAAAATTAACACGAAAGGAAAGGAGGCAAACCAAGCCCCAGCTCCACCTCTGTACCGTTGCTGAAGCAAACCCAGTCATTCCGTCCAGATTCCTTGCAAGTGGTGTGGGAGCACTGAGATTGCTACGCACTGGCTTCGGCAGAACTGGCCTCTGCCCTTCTTGTTGGAAGGGAACAACACGAGAAAGGGTTCTCACCGGGCTTCAACTCGATAAAGAGTTTGGTTTTATTTCACAAATTGAGTGGAATAAAAATGACCACAAGTTCAGGAGGGGCAATTTACTCTTAGGAATATTGAAGGCTTTCATGGGCAGCTTTCTATGCAGTATTTCATTTTGAGTGTATTAAGAGAATCTTTATGAAATGTTTTAAATGAAATGAGAAATAACTAAGAAACTATAAATGAGATATTACTAAGTTCAGTCAGGTGGTGCTTCATTGGTGATTTTTGCCTGTTGGTCTCTACTAGGAGATGTGGCAAATTAGTGATCGATCCTAATATTGCAGGGACGTTTCTAGGTCTCGATGGAGAGAAGCATTGGCTCTGGTGATAATCACCTGGGAAAGGGGATACGGACTTAGGAAGTTGTCACGCGCCTCTGCAAAGACTCAACTGTTTCTATTCTGGCTGACTGAACAAGACTACTTAACCAAATACAGGACTTAACCTAGGAGCGCCAGTGTCGCACGTTTTGTGAGCTTAACGAGTAGCTGGATTAGCGCTGTGGGAGGAGAATACCAGGTAGGTGGTTTCTCTCCACCTGGAGCTTTTGATGGGAGATGACACTGATCAGAATTTCCAGGACTCAAGACTTGGCAGGAAAAACTAGACTGGTGTACATCCAGTGTACAGAGATGATCCGACAGCCATAGCTTAGTGCCGGGCCGTAGGGGACCGCGTTGGGACAGGGGGCCGTCTCACCGAAACGTGACCTGACTGCCTGAGTGCTTCTCTTCCAGTTCAACACAGAGCGAGAAGTTTGTATAAATTGCCTTCGCTGATCAGCTCCAGATTGTAAGCCCTCAGCTGGAAGGCATTAACTTCTCTGTTCTTCTAGGCTATAATTGTCTCTTACTCTGGGGTAAAATTCCACACTGGAAAAGGTAAGAAGATATTTAAACAGGGAAAAAAGCTATGTTTGAAATACTGCGGGCAGCCCCAGAGCAGATGCAGCAGTCAGAGGTGCATGTCTCGGCTGTGTTTCTTTTGAGAACTGACTGATGCGGTCGCTCTTCTGTTTCTCCAGAGGAGAGGACATGAGATAGAGCGGGGAGGTCTGTACTGCCTTGCTAGATAACACGGCAGGCTTACAGATGGTACAGTTGAAAGAAAAAGGTGATGTCAGTGTTACACATACGAGGCAAACGGGGACTCTTAAGAAGAAACATCCACAGGGCTCCTGCTTATGAACTGTCACCATCGATTGTGTTGTAGAGCACCCGAGTTGACGTGGGCGAGAGGAAACACCAGCCTAATTTTAAACGTGTTGGCTGGTGCTTTGAGGAGAAATTCCCGATAAGGCTTTCTTGTTGGCAGGGCAGACTTACCCGTTCTCTGTAGGGAGTCTGATTCTCCCAGGTTACAGAAACGTGCTGTATGAAAGCACGCGTGCAGAGGGTTGCGTGTGTTTGAACTTCTGCTACGGTTGCCCTGTCTATCTGTAAGACTCCGGTCCCTTAGACTTGCTGTCAGTGTCAAAGGGTCAGCAGTAAGACTTGGTTTTAGAAAGTGAAGAGTGTTAAAGAGAGGCTGATTTATTAGGGCTTAACTGCAATAAATCCAGCCTCCCGCTGCCAGGAGGCTCAATGGCTTGTTTAATGTGGAGACAGTTAAGTGACGGATTTGGGACCGGACTGGGGAGGCTCTGCTGCGAGTGCCTCCGCGGACCTGAGCGGTCACAGTCGTCTGTGACCCCCTGCCGTGCTCCCTTTGGTTAATGTTGCACGGTGCTCCCCTTTTCTCATCTCGGGCTGTCGTGTGCGTGATGTGCGCATATTTTGCAGAAGCCAAGAGGAGGAGGTAAAACAACTGTGATGTGATTTACAGCCGGTATCGCTGCGTGCAGTACTTACCTTAACTAGAAAGCTTTTGGGGTAGCGTAATCCGGAGCCGCGGCGTGGGGCTTGCAGGAACTGCCCGGGCTGTCGCTGCCATCCCACCCTTGGGGTATCCTTGTGGGCGGCACTCGTAAATGGCACTGGTTAACACAGCTGGAATATCATGTTAAGGCTCCAGCCATTTCTGTGCGTTTATAGAACTAAAATAATATATATGGAGGCCAGAAGGAATTCTGGAAATAAGGCTGTGAAACAACTTCAATCTGGACTACTGGCCTCAGCTCAAAGACGAAAGATGAGGTAAAACACTGGGGAAGGGCAGGTGTTTTGGAGGCTGGTCTGCAGCTGCGTGTCCGAGGGCTGGGTGAGCGGGAACAGAGCGGGAACTGGTTCTGCTACTGTGCCACCAGTCCTGTCCAGCTCAGCTCCGCGATAATGGGCACAAAAGGCTCCTCTGGGTCACTATGAAGCAAATTTGGGGAGTTTCAGTGTCACTTCCAGGGCATATAAAGTCACCGTGGAGTTGCTGTTAGCTGTTACGCTGGTCAGTCTCAGACACCCCTGAAGATCTTTCTTTCATAAGGGCAGCCCTTACCAGGAGTGGAGTTTCTGGTGTGGTAATTAAAAAAAAAAAAAAAAGTGTTTGGATGCACCTTGCCTTGCTATTTATTGTATAGGTTTTCAGAAGACCTCCCAGGCTTTTAAGTGTAAATTTGAGTAAAAGTCAAACAGAACTTCACCCTTTCTTCAGAACTTGCCCTTAAAAAATGAGCCTGTAATTTTATCCAAAAAATAATTATAGTTTCTGGAGCACAGGGGAAAGAGAAATAATAGTTCTTGACTTTATTTTCTTTACCTCTACCTCTGTCCTCAATTACACAACTGAAAAGCCCACTGAACCCACGCTGGGCTAATTTCTGACGGCATTTGTGCACTTCTGTGCTCGCGTCTCTGCTGACACGGGGGTTGTCTCGTTAGCACCCAGGCTGACACACGACCTTGGTGCTCATGAGGATGCACCATCGGATGCTACTGTAGGTTCAGAAATCTTGTAAAGGATTTCCACTGGGGGTGGTGGGAAAGAGCTCCTGTTCTTTTCATTTATTCTTGAAAAGTCACATCTGTCTGGGCTTACCCTTCTTCCTTTCCCCACTTTTCACTAACATAAATTGCTTTTGGGTCAGAATCTTAAATTGTTCAGTTGTTTTGCTTTTGAAAACACCCATTCGTGTGCTTCTGAAGAGGACCCTAAAGCTTGCTTTAGGAGAGCAGCCTGCGCTGGAAGCGATGCTCAGGGCTCCTGACAGACGGATGGTCCCCAGGGCTGATGCTAGAAGGTGGGTGCGGGAAGGACGACAACAAAGGATATTTGCTCTCACAGGCAGGAGAAGCGTCTCTGTTTCTGTTAATATTTCAATATCGTGGGAAATTTCTTCAAGGCCACCGGTATCTTCCCCTCCAATTACCACGGCAAAAATCTCTATCTCCAGTTCCACCTGCAAGCCTGCTGCCACCTAGGAGAGAGCGGATTGCTCGCAGTAAGGCGCGTTGCGTACACGATCCAGCGCGTGCGGCTGGTTCTTGTTCTGCGCTGCCTGATGAAACTAAAGACTTGGTGCCCAGCGCACGTGATTGTGCGTGCCAGGTACCCGCTGTCTGTTCCACTGGAAAGGTCTGGACAAAACAGCGTCTCTTCACATTGCAGTTTGAAAGAAAACTGCCAGGTGTTTGTATTTTTTCCCCCGTAAATTTCCTTTTAGGTTCCAGAGGGAAAAGGGGAATTGGGAAAGTTGGGAGAGAAGCAAAAAAGAGAGGTGGTCCATGCCCCAAGCCTGTCAGTGTTTGAGAGGCATTTGGACAATGCCCTTAATAACATGCTTTAGCTGTCGGTCAGCCCTGAAGCGGTCAGGCAGCTGGATGAGATGTTGTTGTAGGTCCCTTCCAACTGAACTAGTCTAGTCTAAAAAGAACGTAGAGGTAGGGAGAAAAGGGAGATACAAAAGGGATGGATGCGTGGAGAGGAAAAGAGAATGGAAATTATTCCAGCCATTTTAAGTGCTGGGTCTTGGCTGGGGCTCTGGAGTAGGAGGTTTAACTCGCGTTCTGGCACTGCCTCCTTGCACAAGTCATTGCTGCTTGCTTCCATGCCTGTAAAAGCACTGGCAAGGATATTGCCTGGCGTTACCTGGATGCTGTGGGGACGCTGGCCAGCACAAGATTTGTTCAGATAGGGCACGCAGGTGAAGAGAGAGACTGAACAAGAGCAGGAAGCAGGAAAGCTTCCCACTTAATGGGACAATTTCACATGCTGTGGTGCTTTGCTGGATAAAAGCCTTCACATGGAGAATAGCTGCAAGCAGGAGAAGAAACGCCTGAGGCAAGAGTTTACTAGGTTCAACTCTTGAAGGTATCAGGCAGGAGATAAAGTCTAGGTGTAAGACAGAGCAGATACAACAAATACCCTAAACGATGGGAAAACTCGGAGGTAGTGGCAGAGTATCCTGTTTGCTTCAAAAAAGCCCTCCAACCTCAGTGCTTGACCTGCTCCTTTCCCCTGACCTTAACACGTTTATCCCTCTGCATCCCGGTGCAGGCTCTGAGAGTCGGGGTGCACGGTTGAAGGCAGCATCACTTCAAATAACTCGAAACAATTCCTGTACCCTGCCGGCTCTATTCCCAGACACGGAGCGAGAGGGCCCCTGATGGCCCGAGGGCCAGCTGAGTCTAGCAAAAACCAAAAACTCTGTGTAACCTACAGGTCCTGGCGCGTACGTCACTCTCAGCCCTGTGTGCGGAGGTGGTTGCTTCACCCGAAACCTGTCGGAAAGAGAAGAGAATTAGCTTGCCAGACACGGTTTCAGGCAGGCAGAAGGGCGCTGCTGGGAGCAGGCCACCTGCCCTTCCGCCGCTCGTGCAAGCGACAGCAGGATTTTTTTTAGCTCATCCTTCCCGTCACAGTGTACGGCTTGGGCTGCAGCGGTAACCCTGGGCTCCTCGCCAAGGCTCAGGTTTCTAACAAAAAAACAAAGGAGCAGATCACTGGGCTAAAGTCAGTCTCCAAAGAGCTTGTTACACTGCCTGGTCCTCAACAGAATGTGAAACGTCAGCATTCTCGGCCTGCGTACGCAAAGGAAGGTGAAGTACAAATTACACCTTTTTGGCAAACACCTGTGGGTTGCACACCCAGAAATCCTTAACGGCCTTTATTTAATGTCTTTTGCTATGCTTCTATTGTAGAAGGCATGATACTGGTATAAATTTTGTGTAAGTAACCCTCTTTAATTTCACGGTACCCACGAAGGCAGTAGTTTCACATCTTCACTGATTGTTTCACATCTGTGCACTCCTGCTGCGCACGCAGCTTCCACTGTTACGGTCTCTAAAGATCATCAGAGCAGATATGACCTCTACTTTTGCATGGCTCTGGACTTTATCTTGTGATTTTCACTTCTACCTTGAGAACAGTTACCAGCGTGCAGTTGCACCAGGAGCTGTTAAAGGAGAGGCAGCAGAAGAGGCATTCCCGGTACGGGGCTCCATCTTATGGAAGCTCTGGCAGAATTACAAACCGGCTGTCAGAACTCCTGCGCTTTCTCTGGAGTGCTGGCTGTTAGGAGACACCGGACTTGATTTTTTTGTCAGGGTGTCCCAACACGTTCAGGCTAAGGTACGGACAGTTTGGACAGCACATAGTTAACTACCGACCCTGTCACGGAAAAGTTTCGGCTTCAGCGTGAGGCAGACGCGGCTCAGAATTGCCCACCGTTGGCCCTACCTTTGCCCTCGGCATGTTCCGCTGTCATGCAGCCGCTAGTCACTTAGCTCTCCTCTCGAAGCGTCTACTAAAAGGCTTAAAAGATAAGCTAGATTTATCAGAATCGTGGTGGTATTTTCCTTGACTGTCTACATGTAGTGCCCTGGCGTGAAAAAAAAAATTAATGTACACACCTCGAGCTCTAGGATGTTGGTATATGATCTGCTGATTTTTTCCTGGTATGCACCATGATGCTTAAATGTGCATTAAAGGAAAAAAAAAAGTCTCTTTGGGGCCATATCTAACTAGGCTGATTAAAAAAAAAAACAAAAACCAACCAACACTGTCTCTGCCATCCCTCCTGCTGGCAGGAGCTGTACAGTAGTCTCCCACCTGGTCTTGAACAGGTTTCTAAAGTGCCTAGCAATGATCCCAGCAGGGTAAGTCTCCTGTGAGCTCCTCTCTTGATGGTAATTAGCTACCCAAGGAGGAGAAACAACACGTCAGACACAAATCTTTATGTTTACGTTCCGGCACTGTGGTACCACAGTAAAGGGATGCTGTGACTGCTGAGGTAGTGTCACCGTCACCCTCTCTTGACTCCCTTTTTAAAGAGGCCATCAGACCATAGCTCACCCGCATCCCGAAAAGGGAAGTTTGGCAGGCGCTTGCCCATCTGAAGAGTGCTCCAAAGAAACAGCATCTGGAAGCTGCAGCACGCCAGGGCCACGAGACTCGCACACTTGAGCCCAAGAACGTTTAATGCCCTCCTTACTGTTTTCCTTAACTGGTGCTAATGTTGCAGGGAAAACCAAAGACCATTTATCACCAGGGCCAAGAAGAGGAACCACCTTTTTAATGACCCAGACCAACAGGACAGTAGGACATTTATTTCCATGCTTTCAGTTAGCCTCCGTCTCCTGGGACCTGTGGGTCTAGCAGAAAAAAGGCCCATATAACAGGAGTGGTCCAAGCTTGGCTTACTCTAAGTTCCTGAGAGAACAGTATATAACTGTCCTTTAGGACAAATGGATGAGATTGGCAGCTTTCATTTAACTGCTAAATAAACTAAGAACCTCTCCAGCTGCAGGAGGTAGCTGAGGATAGGTGGGAGTGAGAAGCTGACATTGGAAAACTTTGGTGGGAATAGCTATCTTAGAGCACAGGAATTTAAAAAGCTTGGATTTGGCTTTGGGGCTTTTGAGCCATCTGAAATGAAAGCTTCCCACCAAGCACTGCAATTCTTGAAACCACCTGGTGGGATTATAACCATTCAAATGAAGCTGTTTTGAAGTGCCAGACCTTAGGTGGAAGCCCAGAAGCTGTAAGGACTTAAGAGACCCTTGTTGCAGGCTCTCCTTGAAGCTAAAGGGCAAGGTACATAACTGCACTTGCCTCAGCTGTGCTACGAGCAAACCGAGTGGGAGGAATATGCTTTGCCCCATTTTCCATCCCACGTATGGCGCCTGGGAGGACGGGGGTCGTAAACACACCTGCCTGACTGTCGCTGAAGTGAAACCACGGGGGCGGTGCTGGTGCAGGAGTGACTGAACATAGGTACAGTCACTCCAAAGACGAATTCTAGCACAGAAGAGCAGTCACAAGCATTTTCTTACTGTATTTATATATTCTCTAAACCGGGGCTGGGTAAATCTGATAATTTCTTGCGATTTGTCATGCAGTGCAAGAGACGGTCTGCTGGACTGCAGACCTAGAAATGGACGTACTCGTACCACCGAGTGTGGTGCTCTCTTGTCCCACACGCTGACGGGGTGACGTGTGAATAAATAAATGCTTTATTTCGTCCTCGTCCTCTGCTTGTTCCCAGTGTCATCACTGAAGCTGTTTTTTCAGCACAGCTGAAGACAGGTGGCTGCCTCAATGCCGCTGTGCCCATTTAGATTTAGACTGGCAGCATCCAGCGGTACTTCCCAAAGCCAAATTAACACTGGGTACCATGAAGGAGTTTGGTCCCTGAACCTGAGAAGTTCGATAAGAACCAGTAAATAATCTGCAGTGGGCCAGGGCTATGCATGCAGGACCTGCTGTTCCTTACTGGTTTCCATCTTCCTAATAACACTAATATGCAAATAACGCTGAAGTATTTCTAATATTATCTCCTCTCCTATATCCCGTCAGTCATTATCAAATGATTCCAAATATAAAAATACCATTTGTTATCCCATGTTACTTAGATCAGAAGGTTGACAATTAACAAGCAATGCATATTTGGACAGTTAAAAACCAAGGTACTAGGAATCCAAACTGACCTTGAGAAGTTGACGCCAACATTCTTCAGGATCACCGTGGCTGCATAGGTGCAGCCTTCCTTTAGCACTCCAAGCGTCACTCTGGGTGGAATGAGGTGGAAGCCACTAAGATGCTGTCTTCTTGTTGCAAGAGAAGATGTGTTGACCTTCCCTGCGACAGGATCTTCTATCTTTGCAAACAGAATGAAAATATTAGACAACAGGTAAAGCTGGTGGCCATCAAGTTAGGTTCAGAGTTATTTAACCTACATTTGACCTCTGTCCACTCATCCTGAAGAATTACAAAAAGACACCCTAATTTGAGTAAAACTGAAAAGGCACTTTGAGTATTGTCCACAAATTCATACTGGTTTGAGTTTTCAGACATTAAGCCATTGAGATGTATCGGGGGAGCGGGGGAGGCTCTGCTCTTTTGGAAATCAGGGCTTCCATGTGGGTGCCTGGTGCAGAGCTATGCGTTCAGCATACGAGTCTGTCCTCGCAGCTGAGAGGAAAGGTACTTTTAGAATTGCCAGTAAACTTGTACGTAAATTGCAACTGCTATTGTTTCAGTAAAGAGATTCAAAATACCTTATGGTATTGCTCCAGAATGAATATTTCATGCAAAAGAGATGACTAAAAGGATATGAATATCAACAAAAAAGATGTTATTTTACCCTTTTATTTGGTATGGAGTTTGGTTGTCTTCCCTGGAGGGATGACGGTAACTTCACTTTCTCTCTTCTTGGCTGTCCTGCAGCATTCACCAGCAGACTCTGAACTTTACTTTGAGAGGGTGTCTGTTGTGATCTTGCAGCTGTGTTTAGGTCTGGGAAGGAAAGATTTCCAAAACCATGAAAAACAAAGCATTATATTCAGCCTAATCCTGAAGTTCTTGTTCAGATAAGACTTTTATTTTCCATGAAAGCATTTGATTAGCCCAAGGACAGAAGAATTGGTCTCATTTTTATTTAAGAGGTCAAGAAAGGAATTAAGAAACCCCCTAATAGTAGCAAGAAATTAAAATTTAACTAGTAAATAAAGCTGTACTATGATTATTGGAACTAATTAGTAGGGAGCATCTCAGTGGAAACTCACAATGAAGATATCAACACCTGGGAAAGTGATTAAAAACAGAAGAGGCGGTACAAAACCCCAAGCACTAAAATCAAAATCGAGGACATTACTATTCCAAAGGCATGCCTGCACTGCACAACGACCCAGGCCGCTCAAGTCAAATCTGTATGTCCATGGAAAAACAAATTCCAGTTCAGGCCCCAAAGCAGTGCAGCTCCGCCAGCACAACCGGCTAGGCAGCCCTGGCTCTGAGCAGGATTTATTGTCTTGAAGGCAACAATTCATTCATATGCATGACCTGTATGCTTCTGATTCTGGGCTTAAGATGGTCTTAGCTACCTTGTCATCTTTGAAACGTGCTCCACTGTATAACGTAGATAGACTGAGCACAGGGATGGCCAGAGCAACTTAGATCTAAATACAGCTTCTTTTCCTCGACAGCCTAAGACACATTTAGCTTATTGTAAAGTCCGATAACTTCTGAAGGGAAAACACAAGACAATTATGGTAGCTGTCTTCTCACCAGGGGTCAACCTCTAGATCAATATTTTGTACTGAAGAGAATTGGTTTTTCTCAGTTTGGACTGCAGGCACTGTCTAGCTGGAATGCCAAGTCTGGTCAGTTAGTCACCGCGAGGAGGCAGACATGTTATTTGAGAAGAGCATCTTCTCTAGATTCCCCCTCTTATTCCCAGACAACAGAAATGCAGGTGGTAGAGAAGGGCTTCCCACCTAACACAGCAAATGGCCCAGAGCTTATTAAAAAAAAAAAAAAAAAAAAAAAAAGCCAAGCACGTACATTATGGAAAAAACACTAGCATTCCCTGTTTTGCCTAAAGGTGAGCAGAATTTTTGCTTTGACATTAGAAGTTCGTGTAGTTTTGGCATCTCTCTCCCCACCCCTCCAAATCGCTGAGCCTTTTGTCACCTACTGTGTGGCTCTGGGATTACCGATTCGTACATCTGCCCTGAGGTCTATGGATTATGCATAAATAACAGAGGAAATTGAGCAAGTTTGAAGGCAACAGCTCTTGCGGAGCCCCGCTACTAAGAAAAGTTTCCAGTATGCGTGGAAGGGAAAGGAAGGGGAGAAGGGAAGCTTAACTATGGGATGCAAGGATAGATTTTGCAAGTATGCGCTGCCAAAGCTCGGCTGGTGTGGCATTATGTGAAAGTCAAGGTTGGGGCTAATCAAAGCAGACTGGTGGCTCTCCAGCCGTGACCATCCAAGGCTGTCACCTGACAACAGAGTGAACAACAGTAGACCTAGCAAGGAAAGCAAAATCGAATGGGGATGCTTAAACGGCAAAGACCGTTTAACCACAGCAAACTCTGTTCTAGAGTCTTCTGTTACAGGCTTTAACGAGCAGGGAAAATCAGCTTGTGCAATTTTTTTTAGTAGAGAAATTACTTCTTGGCTTTGTCCGCAGTTCTACCATCCCCATCATCTCACGTTGTTATGGCAGTCTCCTAGGGTGAAGGAGGGAATCTCTCCCATCAGTTTTATACCTCTCCATTTCTGCCAGCCTTGCATTCAGAATGCTGAACAGAGATAGGTGGATTTAAATTTCTATTGTAAATATTTTGTCAAAAGTTATAAGAAGATAGATATTAACCTGCTCCAAACTACGTTCTGGAAGGGAGCTTTACCTGTTGTGCTGCTGGAACCTTCCTTTGGTTTGGAATGAGCCTGCAGCAGGCGGCCAGGTGAAGCTGAGGAATCGCTCGTAGTATTGAGACACTCAGATGCTAAAGGGAAAATAATGGAATACTGTGACAAGTGTTTTTCACGATCGTCATCGTTTTCATAAACACATAAAAAAAATAAATCACAAAGTCTTTGCCCCTTTAATGCAGGCAACCTTTGAAAGCTGCCTACGTAGCCATGAGAGGCTAAGTAAACTCTGCACGTGACATTTTGCTCCACTGGGCAACAGGGATCAAAACCGCCTATTTGTGGTTAGTCATTTCTTGTTCTCTGGCTAACTGAGCAATAAGCCCTAAAGGGCTAACGGACAATCCAACACAGGTCGTCTGGTGATTGCAAAATGAGGGAGTATGGGAACTAGAGGGGTCCGAGAAAGCCCCAGGGAGCACCGCTTTCCTGGTATGATTCTTTGCTGTGCGTGACTTTTAATCTCACTACGTGATTTCGGTAACTTCTCAGGGCTGCTTTTCCAACAGAACTGAAGCAGTCCTCCCAGCGCTGTACAGCTCAAACCGAAGACGATGGTTCGCTCTTCCACCGCTTCCTGCCATCCAGTCACCGCTTTCTCCCATGTCCTCCAAACCCCCTGAGCCTGCCTGTTTCCCACGCCGTATTTCTTTGCCCCAGCCCCCAAGCTGCCCCTCTTACCACAGAGTTTCAGAATTCCAGCTCCCATTTTTTCCCCTACAATCATACTAGTCTTTTCCTACACTTGGCCTCCTTGGTTCTTGCTCATCCACCCCTAACTACTCTTTATTCCATTTAAGTTTTTCTTGAGCATTTTGCAGGCACACATGAGCATTTTGCAGGCCCCCCCCCCCCCCCCCCCCCCCTCATAGCACAGTTGTTCTGCTTTGCATCCAAAGCCTGTGGTGCTTCCACACTCAGTGGTGTCTGCAAAGGCTCCTTTAGCACACTAAAGATAGAAGTCTCATAGACCACATTTATATTAGTGGATTAAACAGGAACATTCCCAGATACTGGAACATGATAATCTGTACCGTTAAATTTATATTTATTTAATGTATTTATTATTTTTAAATTTAATTTAATTAATAAGTTTAATTAATTTATTTCATTTATTTATTTCATTATTTTATAATTAATGCCGGCACGATATTGACTGTGCCATGTAGCAGTCTCCCCAAAACCACTCTCAAGTAAACAAGTTTTGGCCAGGGAAAAGGCCGTGTTGTTTTGGGAGAGTGAATTTACACAGCCTACTCCGTGCTGGTGGATCTCAATGTCAGGGAATGCCGCTGGGCACGTTTCATGTATCAGAATAGATATAGCCACTGCGGTCCACGCAGTTCATGTGTCAAAATGACTGGCAATACATAGGGTCAGATAAAGTAATCTTAGATTTAACTGCAATATGAAATGAGGCAACTGGATAAAACAACGAAGATACTAAAACGTTACCAGGCAGAAGAGCTCAAGTTACCTCTACTGGGTTTTTTGGTCATCTCTAGAAGGAAATTCCCGCTTTGTTTTTTTTGAACTGGAGGAAGTTCCATAGACAGTGCTTCCACATCAGGAAACTGGAGAAAAGTAAGAGGGCTTAGGTCTCCCCACTAAACACTTAGGAAAAACCAGCAGATGCCCCCCCCGCCCCCCCCCCCAAAAAAGGAGAAAAAAAAAAGGGGTGTGTGTGCAAAGAAGCAGAACCAAAGTGGTAACTATAAAAATATACATAATTATACCTCAGATTCCAAAGCACTTTTCTGAGTATGCTTTATGCACTTGGAGCATTTATCAGGTGAGATCACAACAGAAGAGTTCCCGCGGCCACCGTTAACCCAGGAGGGTTGCTCTCACTAATTCCCTCTCCAGCTGGCAGAGAGGGGCCTTTGAAAGGCAGGTGAAAAGAGCCGAGGTTCAGCTTCTGCTCTGACTCAGACTCTCTCCAGAGTTTACGTAAGGAATCTGCAGAGTTTGTGCTCAATATAACACATACCACCTCCACGATATGTTTCCTTTGACAAGGGCGTATAATTCCTGGTATTAATCCTGCCACAGCTGTCCTCTGTAATGGTTTCTTGAGATAAATGGAGGCTGAGATGTAAACCGACAACTGTCTTTGTGCGAGTGTGACAGAAAATACCTGGCCTAACACAAGGTCATCTGGTTTTCAGCTACGTTACCTCTTTCAGGAAAAACTCCTTGCCGAATTCTGATTCAAAATACGGAGGAAATATTTTGTTTCTTATTGCCATTAAGGACTTCTTTCCTTCATCAAGTTCTTTCCTAAGAAATATTTAACATTGTTGGTAAGGAAAAGAAAGAAAAAAGCATAACTGAGTTAACCCAGTTTTTCAGTGTTATGTCTGAAACATCAAGGAATGGAAGGGATAAAGGCAAGTGGCGTTTTTTTGTTCTGGTTAATCACACTGAGCGATAATCTTGTAATTGGCAATTTTCTCAGTGATAGATCAAGAACGGGCTGGTCTGGCTTGCAGAGAAAACGTCCTCCTCAGACACTGATTTTTGGAAGAGCTGATCAAAATGCACATTGACTGTGGGTTGGCTGCTACAGAGAGCTCCTCCTCAAAGCATGCTCCAGTTCTCTACGCCTTGCGGAACACGTCTGAGACTGCCAGTAGTGTCTTTCCAACCTTCCAACAAACATTTAAATCTGAGAAGTGGTATTTCAGATGCATTGCTAGAATTTATAATACACAATTAATCTAATTTCCTTATTTTATCACAGAAAAACTTGATGGCTCTGTGGATACAGAAAAAGCTGTTCAAACTTCCGAAGGTAAGATTCACCAGAGTAAAGACGGGTTAATGTTTTCAGCTTGATTTACTCCAGTTTTACACTACTATAGTTTCCCTGGCTTGCAGGGCCTAATATCAGCCATGGAATTACCACTCTTAATCATGTTGAGAGTTTTGACGCTGGTTTTAGAGCCAGAATTGCCCATGATGTTCTTGGGTGCTGGCTACTCATATATATATATATATATATATACACTCATATAGAGAGATATATAAATATTTAAAGTCATTCTTTAAATAGTTTGCAAAACAGTGTAAAATGCTATATTAAAATATAAATCCGAAATTATAAAAGTTTTTTTTAATCTCATGCAAGTCCAAAAGTAATTAAGAAGTAGGGTGGAAAAGATCTTAGTTTTCAATTGCTATTTAACCTTTCACAATAATAAGAAAAAGCAAGTTTCTGATTATAATATTAGTTCATCACCATTTCAAGTTATTCTGTTTAATCTAAGAAATAGTGAATGACCTAAATAGCTGTCAATATAATTATTTTAATTCCATCGTGAATGAATGTATGTTACTGATGACTTTGTGTTAATCCTAGTTCACATATCAGGTTTTCTATTTCTACATAAATTAAATGCATATTTTTAATTCTTTAAATTTAAACAGTTGTGCTTGGATTACACTGAGAAATTTGATGGATCTGATAGATCCAGAAAGCCCTTTCCTCTAGAACTGAAAACGATAACGGTTTTAATGCACAACACTTAAATGAGAAGTTTTTGTGTGGTACTAAAGAATTATATAATGCAACAATATAATTATTTATCTCCATAGATTAAGAGTCTGTAAATTTACCTTCCAAAAAACCATATTTTTCTCTCAATTAATAGCGGCTTTGAGATTAGTCGTATTTTTTTTTTCAAATGCTTTTGTGAATTACCATATCTGAAGACTGAAATGCAGTGACTCTTGATTTACACCTGAGCAGAAATTCTCATGAAAATTTATTTATCTGATTGTGAAATGTACATTTTTAGCAATATATACTGTTTCAAAGCACCTATATAGATTTTTTTTCTTGAACTCATCAAACAGCTTCACCAGTTATCAGTGGGAGATAAAGGGCAATTTTTTAAAAATAAGAGCAAGTGAAGCAAAGTGGGTTAGAATTAAAGTTGAGGGTCAGCCTTAAATACAACTTTAAGCATGACAAAGATTTTTATACGCATACACACATCTTCCTGTAAAACCACTTCTAACCTGAAGATTATAGCACCTGCCTCAGGACCCCCATGAGAAATACTTCGCCAACAGGAAACTGAGGGACAGCTAATTCCCAAAGCAGAATGTTCAAATGTGGAAAAATGGGCATTGCTTCAGTAAGGCACTGATTTTTAAGATGACCCTAATCTTAAGGTTCTACTTAAAGATAATGAGTTTACCTACTGTCCACATGTTTTGCCTCCTAAAATGCCCTCGGAACTGCAGCTGCATTGCCAGGGTGTAAACCACGAGCGTACCCTGCACTTTTATAGTGAACTCCACAATGAAGAGGGGAGGGAGAGAAGCCTCCACAACCAAGCAAGGAAGCAGTGGATGTGGTAGGCTAGCAAAGGGCCTGGGGTGATGGGATATCACAAGGGACATAAGGGACATCACAATCAACAAACCAGAGCTGAAGTGGGGTCGCACCAAGCATATGCATATAAATAAGGAAGAAGAGATAGATCTGGCCTTCTTCAGACAACTGGAAGAAGCCTCACGTTCATAACGCGTGGTCCCCATGGGGGACTTAAGGCACCGTGCCCAGCACTGAAAAGCAGCTCTGCAAAGAAGGACCTAGGAGTCCTGGTGGACACCAAAATGAATGTGAACCAACAGTGCGCCCTTGTGGCAAAGATGACCAGCAGAATCCTTAGGAGGAGTTGTCAGCAGGTCCAAGCAGGCAGGGAGGTGAACCTTCCCCTCTACTTGGCACTGGTGAAACCACCTGTGGAGTACTGTGTCCAGTTCTGGGTTCCCTGATACATCAAAAGACATGGACTTAAAGAAGCAAGTCCAGAAAAGGGACACAAAGATGATTAAGGGTTTGGAGGATCTTTCATATGAGAGGAGGCTGAGAGAGCTGGGACTGTTTTGCCTTGAGCAGCTTTGAAGCACCATCACGTGATAGACATGTCTGGGGTTCTGAAAAATCAGCCAGGATGTGTGAAATACCCAAATCTTAACCTACAGCATCAGCATTTGAAAATACTAATTTAAATTATTTTCCATGCTGGTGGCCGAGCCAGCAAACAGAACACAGGACTTTGACTTCAGCCTTGTTTTGAATAGCATAACTTAACTTTACAGTGCTAGGCTTTGAAAAAATTGAGAGAGACTCAAACCATCCATTCAGCATTTCTGTTGCAGAAAACACCCCGTTATTTGCCAGCAAACCACTGAACCATTACCCAAGACCTGGTGAAATCAGCAACAGTCTTTCCAAAAACAGACTTAAGTTGGCTCTTAAAATAATCAACTTTCTGCCCTACTAATACTATTACCTGTACTCTTCTAGTCTGCTCTGCCACTTGGACACTGGTGTTACTCCTTCTGGGCTAAATGATCAGGGAAGAAACAAGTAGTGAAAATGAGAAAACTAGCACGATGTTTTATAAGCACAAAAATATTTACAAGATAACCCTGGAAAGAGAATGCTTTTTGTAAGAGTATTTTATATTAACATCTCAGGTGACTCCTGACTTCCACTTGTATGGTTTGCTGCAAAATTGTTCACTCATATCTGCATTTTTATTATATTTTTTTAATCACAGAAACCCTCAAAATCCTTTTCCAACAAACTTTAAAGTATCTTCGAGATAAGGAAAGAAGAGGCACACAGGGACAAATGATCATAGGAAAAGCTAGTAAAACATTGTGATATGTATCTAGAAGATCTAGGTCCTGGTCCTTAATGACAGTCAGCAAAGTACATCGCCTTGCCTGTGCGCTTGGTTCCATCCTTTGCATTATTTACACTTGCATCAGTTCTCGCTGGTCTGTCCTACCTGAACCTCCGCCGTTGGTCCTCTCTTTGGGCAGCGATCGTCTTCTCTGTGTGACACTGGCGATGAGAAGCCACCGCCTGTTCATACAGCTCAGTTACGTGAGCTGCAAGGTAAAGGGTATTATTGAATATGCGTGTTCTGCTAAGCACTGCTAAGTGTTATGAATAAAAACCATGCAAGTATATATTTTTAATGCATCTTTCTGTCACTTGATGAAAACCTAACAGATTCTTTATTACTGGGAGGGAAGAGGCAGAAAGAACTTCATTCCAAAATCAATTTCAGAACATTAACAGGTAGGAAAATAATTCAAGTCAATGTAGAAAGAACCAGAAGCAGATTAAGTTCCCCTACCCTGTATTTCCTGAAATATCTTTGTGTTTTTTCCAGGTACAAATCAAATGCCTGTGAATAGGAAAAGTTGCTGACATTCAGCCACTTTCTGACTGGGGAGCAACATTCCAGGTCTCTATCTCCAGCTGAAGAAAATAATGTGGGCCTTCAGGGACCTTTACTGCTTTCAGCTTACTTAAGTTGTGCTTAATTGTGTTGATCATGGCTGCTTCACAGCCATTCTCACAGAAGGAACTACTAGTTCAATATGTATAATGGAGAAAAGCCAATCTTTCCGTATTTAAGACTGACCAGCTTTGGGGCTTTACTAAAGAGTTTCCCTGTCCTCTGACATCTTCTATAAAACGTGTTGCTTGCTTCATGCCTCACACCTAAGCTGTGTGCCCAAAGAAGTTTCCTTGGTTGCAAATAAATTTCCATGGGAAAATTTAGGAGGTCTGAGTATTTCAGAGAGATGATCCTATTTGATCATGACAACATCTCTCAGTGTTTTGGGAATTATGTAATTGCAAACTTCAAAGTTAGTTTTTTTCTTTTGGTTTCGCTTTGGTTTTTTTTTGTCAGATTTTTCACCATAAAAATATACTTTTATTTTCCTTTTTCTATTTTTGCCTATCTTAAAGAGCTGCTTTTTCACACAATCTTCTTCATTAATAAGGGTACGTTACAAGTACGCCTCCATTTTAACTATGTTTTTAAATCGGGAAACTGTGTAGTATGCATTTGCTGCAGCAGTTTCCATTTACTTTGCACAGTATGCTTTTTTTAACAAGCAGAAATACTCTTGACAAGGCAGGAAGGGCAGAAAAATAACACATTAAAGGCTAGCATCACTATGGGACTGAATACTATGGATTTTTCTATGGGAAAGGCTTATGGATTTTAAAAGAAACAAAAACATCTTAATTCTTGTTTGTACCTATTGAAAACATTACTAAATGTTAACAAGTATCTTATGAAAACCTCAACAGAAATCCACCAGGGAAAGCTAATACATTGTTCCATCTTTCCCGCAGGCAAGGTTAATGTAACAAAAACACATGATCATTTAAGAGCAGATTTTCAAGTGTAATAAATAACCAGGACTTATCCAGTTGCTTTGAAAAACTTGTCTGAAAAGTTGATACTTGTATAAAAGTAACCAAGTACTGTCATAGTTCTTATACCTAAGAAAACTCAATACATGCAGAAACGTGAGTGAAAATGCCAAATACACATGCCGAGGAGCTGTTTTTTAGAGGTACTGCATCATCGATGCTAACAAGTTCTAATCACCTGTGAGAAATCGCACAGAAGCACGTAGATAGCACATAGATGAATTCACCTTTATGTTCCTTCTTTAAAAATAATACTACAGTACTTAAAAACTTACTATGATATTTTACTATTTTAAAAGGTACATATTAGATTTTTATTACCTCTGTCACAGTACTGCAATGAAGAAGGAATAACTGTGACCATGCCAGAAACGGACCTCACAACCACAGCACCCTGTTCGAAGGCTTTCTGTCCTAAACAAGCGTTATCTTGTTACCCGAGAATGCGACTCCAAGAATGGAGGTATTTCACAGTGTGTTAGAAAACATGAGCTGGTGAAAAAGGAAATGAAGTACAATTTCCCTGGTCTAAACAGTAGGTCTTGATGACCTGCTTCACAGGTGGCTTCGTATTTTATATGGTTGCTGTTTATTAAATCAACTAAGCCAGTTCATATGCAAACTCAAATCCTTCTGCAAAGGATATGAACCAGATCTAAAACTCATAGTCACAACAAGAAGTCAAATGGGAAATATGTTCAGGAATTTGTAGGCTTCGTTACTGAGGGTCTCTCTTGTGGTTGGTTTGCAGTGAAGTGTTTGGGGGGTAAGAGACTCTAAACGAAGCCATTTCCCTTACTCTTACGCTGTCCCTGAAGCAGTTAGCTGGAAACCAGAGTTCCTGCGACGAGGCAGTCTAGGTTCTGACAGAGCTGGGGAACAGCGGAGACGCGGGAGGAGTGCGACACCGATTCCTGGGTGGCAGCAGGTCCACAGCAAGGCTCTACTGCTCGGAAAAATAGTTGTCCAATGTGAAATCTGTACTTGGAAACGGGCTTATGGTAGCTGGTACAACCAACAACAGTCACTAGACAAGTCCATTGGAACGGGGCAGCATGTGAGATTCAGCACCTGGATCTCACCAAAGCAAATAAATGCCTGCCTAGAGGACAGAGGCAGATGGAGGTGCTGATAGATCACTTCTCTGTGTTCCTCTTTCCAGAGTGGCTGCGAGTTTCTTCCTGGTTTTTTTTGCTAGGTATTTCTTTACTCTCTTTTTAAAACTTGTACGTCACTTGAAAGTACTGAGCAAGGTAATATACAGAAGCTTGTAATATAAAAAAATTGACTTTAGTTGCAGCAAATGAAAATGCTAACTTGGCTAAAAAGTTCAGAGACAAATTCTAGAATTACATGGGGTTTTTTTAAGCTTGTAAGGAAAAAATAATAGTAAAGTTATAGCTCTATCCAGAAAACTATGAAAAGGAAATTAACAGCATTTAAAACTGGAAAGATCTCATGCCTAATGTTTTTGCACGTTGAGACAATGTTTAAAAGGTAGACTCTAAAGCTAAGATGATGTTTGCTTGCTAGAATACATTCACTTTTGAAAGGTGGATAGATCATCTGGTAGTAATATTCAAACTAACAGGGCTAGATCTTATTTTTCAAATGTCAGATTTTTTTAATTCATTGATTCATTTACTATTATTAATTTTAATTCATTGATTAAATGAAAATAAAAGTATTTCTTAAATGAGACTAAAAAAAGAAACCAGTGTTTAATAACTACTAAAAATCTAGCGTGTGAATTCACATCATGCAAGGTACCAAATGAAAGGAAGCTGTAAGAAATGAATAATTTAAATAACTGAAATAGAGCAAACTCATCACTCTCTATGTAAGATGTAGCAGTGTTTCTCTCATTCATCCTAATTCACCCCACGCACTTTTGCTGCTTGAGCTTTTCTAATATTTTTTACCACTCACCTCCCACTAACCTTACTGTTTCCTGACTGCTACCCTTTTTTTTTTTTCCCTATTTTCCCACCTTTCCCATTCCCTATTCCCCTCCCTTTTCTTTTCATGCTCTAATTAGCTGTGCAAATTAGGAGAGCACATTTTCCAAAAACATAAATGCTATTCAGCAGTAATAACACTATGCCTCCAGATTGGTTTTGGATCATCCCAAAAGCAGGGTTTAAACTCTCACTGTGGAGGTGGCTGTGGTTGAAATACAAGTCTCCCACCTGCAATGACAACAGACTGGGAACATTCTCATCCTAACGTTGCGGGATACGGACATTTCAGTATTTTTAGCCTGTGTGTTCGGGAATATATCATTCCGTAGAGCCAAACTCTTGAACTGTTTTGAGCATTGCTTCCCCAAAATGGCAGTAGTGCCATTCAGTAGCCCAGCCAAATGCTGAGTGTGGCTTTGCTTTACCATTAAACTACAGCAGAGCTGGCACTGTGCTATCCTAACATTTGCTGTTTTATTAACGGATGATGCTGTGTTTTAAGGCTGACACTTCCAATGCAATACAATGGTTTTGTTGGAAAAAGCAGTTAAAAACTGTATTTCTCTCACCGTAACTAGTTCAAGGAGACTTGCAGCATTCTCCTTTTCCTCTTCTGTTCTTGGTTCTTTTACATTCATCTCTTCCAACTCATCTTCCTGCTTTAAAATGTTGTCTATATATTCCTGGTGGAACAATGAAAAAGAACAAGATAGATGCAGATGTTTTCTTTGCAGAGGTAGACTTAAGGGGCACATACACAGAGAAAAGAGTTTGTAGAAGTCATGGACATATACGCTTCTTCTCAATGTCATAAAGGCCCCTTCTGTGAATTTGTGTGAACGGATTATATAGATATCTAAAGGTTTGTATGGAGAAATAGTTTTTAAAAAACCCAACAGGTCAAAGAGAGGAGTACTTGCCGAGAAGGTAGCAGGTGAAAGCTTACCAAGGACTAATCAACTCTGAAGGCTAGCAAGACTATTGAATCTGCAAGAACTAATATACTAAGGACAAAAAGAGTTTGCTGAATCTCTACCAGGCCACTAGCACACATTAGCATCCACAATGAACGGTGTGACTTGCAGCACATCCAACAGCTATCTAGGTGCCCCTGCTCCATCAATGTGACCCCCTGCTTCTGAGAAGGCAGGTAGGTTTGGCCTCCCAACCGTTGCACCAGCCAGGCAAGTATGAGTGAGCATGCAAGTGCTTGAGTAAACTATGTGAGTGAATAAAGGAATGTGTTGAGTAAATAGCTGCTCTCAATAATAATCAATTATATAACAAAGATCAGCTTAATGAATAAAAGATGTTCCAACAAACATGATCTGTATCTCCCTCCTGTTTGATCTCCTATTAGGGAAAAGGGAATTTACAACAGCATAATTGAAAAATTAGGTTCAGGAAAAAAAAAAAAAATCTAAAACTCTGTTTTTAGGCAGATGTTTACTTTGCCAGAATCGTGCTACGGAAAAGAACACTTTTCTTTTCCCACACTTCTTTATGCTTTAGAAGATCAGCTGGATGGGAAAAAGGGTCCTTACAGAAGGCTGTCCTAACACCACTCTGCTAGAAAGCTACATGCAGTACCAAGCTTTATGAATAGACAAGGTTTGCAGAAGCAATCTGTTTCCAGTTCCAGTTCTTTTTGATTCCTTTATACCGCTTAAATCTTAAAGGAGGTGGAGAAAGAAAGAATACCTTTTTCTTTAGATCTTGATTTAGTTCTGACGAAGTGAATATTTGGCTAAAGATTTAAGATACCTCTTTCTGGAAAAATCTATTCATTAAATATTGATATGTGAGCAATGAGGATATTTCCATTGCACATTAATGCAATTATTACAAATGTTTTCTCAGTGCCACTAATTGCAATTCTTCCTTCCCAATGTAACAAACAGCGTTCTTCTTTCTCTAAAAGCCAACAACAGATCTAGTCAATGAAGAGACTCACCTTGGCATTTTGGTGTGGAACTTCTTGTTATAGCATTGCCTTTGAAAGATCAGTATGCAATTTATATATTTATAAACTGTAAAAGGGTAAAATTTAATTCTGATAGACTGGCATGTTCCAAACATGCCAGGGCTGAACAGCTGTCCATATTTTTCTATTGCAAGCATGTCTTCTTTGAAATGTAAGGGGGCGGGGAAGTCTAACTGGCTACAACATGCTACTACCTTCACAAATTTCACACGCTGTTAACTTTCAAATTCCATCTGCAATGCCATCACCAAAATATGTTAAATTAATAAATTATAGAACACATTTATTTTGTTATTCTCTAATTGGTACGTAATAACGAGTTTTTAACTCTAAAATATCTTCTAAGAGCATCTTCACAATGTGAATTAAATAAATCAATGTTTTATACCAAAACTGAGAACTACGAAGCTGCTGACAAGGATCATCTGCAGAACGTTCAGATTCCATCTCAGAACACTTGCACGTGAGGTGTAGCTTGCACCTTGTTACAAACCAGTAACTCATGAGGGATGGCCACACACTTTGTCAGGAGGCTACATAGCTATTTGCTAGACAGGGATAGAGTGACAGAACTCAGCCTTGAACCTGGAAACGTTCTGTACTGATTTATGAAAACAAATACGTAACCAAAACGGGAGTGTGTCTCAGTGACCTGGTCAGCAAGTTAACTGTAGAATTATGGTGGGTTAGAAATTCTTGTACAGCTTCATAGATTTAAGTTTTTAAGGCTTTGGGAAGGAAAACAAACCCTAAGCAAAGTAAAAGCAAAGTAACAGATATCAATATTGACAGAAAGGAAACTATTTGTTAGTGTACTGTCTACCTGTGATGTGTACTGGACTGGATACCACATATTTGCACAGAAAAGAAGGTTCCACAAGAGATGAGTGAAAACAGTTGAGCTGCTTCAGAAATACACTTTTCTTAGAGCACCTGTCTACATATGAAGTGCTGATTGTTCTTCAAAAGTAGCAGAATTTTTGTCCCAGGGTTATGCTGTAAATTCATGTCACCCAATTTGTCTGTTCTCTATTGCTCACTGGAAGAATGAATAAACGTGATTGCACTACCTTGAGGGAAAGCTGCAGCTTTTCTCTTAGTTCATCACTGAGTGGCTTATACTGGAATAGCTGACGGATTTGCAGTTTATTAGGACATTTTCTCACAGGTACTGGCAAGCACGTCTTCTCTTTGGATCCAATGCAGAGACCCCTCCAAACAGGTGTTCTGACTGAGGGACCCGTGATCTTCCTCTGAACATGGACCAGAACAAGCAAAAAGAGCAAGAGGCTACTTATATTACTAATTAAATGCAGATATCAGCAACGTGTGTCTCAGCTGAAAAGCGCAAGCTCTCCTTATAGCATCATAGATCTAGACAATAAAGTCAGTAGATTCTTGGGCACAATTTATCTATTCTAAAACTTCTTCATCTGGCAAGATGAACTCCCCTTAAAATTGCCATATCGCCTTACTGAGAGCAGAAGCAGCCCAAGGTTAAGCGGCAAAAGACAATTTTGAAACAATTATACCTCAGGAGAAGAAAATGTGTCCCGGGTCCTTGACTGAAGGTTTGGAGGAACAATACTCTCTGGTTCTTTCTTCATTACCCAGGGGGAGGCTTCAGCCAAAGGGCGGAGGACAGTAATACTGAAAACACCTGGTTCGAAGACACATTTTGCTAAGAATCAGTTCAAATCCAAAAATGATGGTCAAGTGTCTCAGACGTCCAGAAAAATATACTTACCTAAGCATAAAAAAAACTTATTATTAAGTGGTAAAACTCCATGTGAAAATGCGATGCTTGTGGCTACGGATAATATCAGATAACTGAGGTGATTATAGAAGCTGGATGAGTTCAGATCACTGAGGTGATTATAGAATAGTTGGACAAGTTCAGATTACTCAGACCACGTTCAACAACAGACTGCCTATGCTACTTGCTTTGACTATTGGGTAACAGCTCAGTTGTATAGTGTGTGGAGTATCCCAAACAAAGAAGAGCAGACCATCGACCCATGTTTACTGAATACTAATCTCAGAAGTACGTCATATTCAGAACATGCGTAATTCTTCACTGTATTTTATAGTTCACAATCTGATCACTGGATGGATTCCATTAGAGATTATAATCTTTTTTTATTGTTCTGATTAATATTAATGTTCTTCAAAATATTTTTTCCAACCCAACCCCAAAAATCTACTTAATCTACTATTATCTACCCCATAGGTGGCCTTCAAAATGGATATGACCACTGAGGTGCTTTGTCACAATGATACAAAATTGCAGAGCCTTGGTATCAAGGCAAATAAAGCTAGTATTGATAAAGATAGAGTACGAAGTCCGGAAAAGCAGACTTGCTACTATTAGAAATGACTGCTGGTTGCGAGCAGGACTGGGATTTTCACTGGGTATCTATCTTCTCCATCTTCCTGGTCTTTCCACCTTCCCTATCTCTCCGTCTCCCTCAGTGCCCTTTCTCTTTTCCTTTTCCCATGGCAAAATTATTTCGTTCAGTTTATAAAACGGGGAACTGGTTATTAGTGTGAATAGAAGCAGCATTTTAAAATGTGCAAAACCCTGGTAAGAATAGTAGGTGGGAAACCTGTTCCCCATGCTTATGATATAAATCTCTGAGAAGAATGTCTTAGTACTTTACAGCTTGAAGCAAACTATCCTTATCACCCCCCATATCCAGGACATCCATGTGTTCCTGTCTTTTTAAAGATATATTTATTTTCTTAGGATCTACCTGTTATGCCACAGTGTATTTTATAGAAACAGCATCTCCAACGAACTTTACAATGAGAACCAATCATTTCAGCATATAACTTCTTGTGTTGCTACTACGAGGTGGTTGGTGCCATGTACTTTCGGCATCCCCTATTTCAGTCATTTTTTTCCAGCTTCTTAGTAACATATATTTATCTTTTCCAACAGCCAGACTAGTCAACATCAGAGTATCATTGTCTTCATTGATAAATGGAGGTATATGATTAATGAAGACTGTGATGCATTCAGTGTTTTTTGATGGTAAATACACAGAGAACTATGCATTTGGTCATCGCTTTTGTTTGCGTGTCTGAGAGCGGATAAAGATATGCCAGTTGTTTGTTTGCTTATCCCTTTACAGTGTCATTCAGTTAATGCTCTGCTTCCCAGACTTTTCCAGAAGCTCCTCTTCCCCGTGCTTCAGTGCCAGAAGTGTGGGCACCTCTCTACATGGGGAGAAACATTTTCAAATTTCCTGTCCAAATAAGAGTTTTGACACTTCTGACCCCACCTTTGTAATTATTTCTGTTATTATTTTGTTGGAAAAGAAATAAAATTTTCCTACCCGGACATTCTTGCACAGGATCCTGCAAGACAGCAGCAGCGGGATCACTACAGGCTTCGGCAAGATACTTGTGTACATCCCTGCTCCGCAGGAGCTCAGTTCCAGAACCATCCACGTAGATGACGAAGAACCTATACAGCCAGCCACACACATTGGATTGTATTGAGCATAGGAGGCAAGCTGTTGGCAGTGGGGGTATGCAGGGTGGCCTCTGCGAGGAGAGGGCAGGGGCTGCCCTGTGCTGGACACAGACGGTCCCAGCTGGCTCCAACAGACCCACCACAGGACACAGCTGAGACCCTCAGCCAAGACCACGGCACCTCAGGGAAAGCGTGTGTAAGAAAGGGCAAAATGCCCCACAGGCAGTGACAAGCGAGGGAAAAAATATGAGAAACAGCCCTGCAGACACCAAGGTCAGAGAAGGAGGAGGGGGAAGAGGAGCTCCTGGTGCCAGAGCAGAGATTCCCTTGCAGCCTGTGGAGAGGACCATGGTGGAGCAGACATCCACGTTGCAGCCTGTGGAGGAGACCACGGTGGAACAGGTATTCCCCTGCAGCCTGTGGACAGGGTCACGCTGGTGCAGGCGAATATTTCCTGAAGGAACTGCAGCCCGTTGAGAGCCCATGCTGGAGCAGGTTTAACCAAAAGGACGGCAGCCCATGGGAAGGATCCATGATAGAGCAGGGGAAAAGTGTAAGAAGGAAGGAGCAGCAGAGAGGAGCTGTTATGGACTGATTGCAACCTCCCATTCCCTGCGCTGCTGGAGTGGGGAGGAGGTAGAGGGGTCAGGAATGAGGCAGTTGATGTTGAGCCTGAGAAAAAGAGGGGATGGGGGGAGGTGTTTTACTTTTCATCTTTGTTTCTCACCATCCAACTCTATTTTAATTGGTAATAAATTAAATTAATTTTCCCCAAGTTGAGTCTGTTTTGCCTGTGACGGTAATCGGAAAGTGATCTCCCTGCCTTTATCCTGATCCACGACCTTTTGCGCCTTATTTTCCCACCTTGTCCTTTTAAGGAGGGGGAGTGAGAGAGCAGCTGGGTGGGCATTTGGCAGCTGGCTGAGGTCAACCCACCACACTGATCAAATCCAATGGCTTTCAAATTGCATTCTTTTCTAGATGACAAAAATGCAAAAGTACTGTGATGACACAAGAAAACGGAACTCCAAGATGACGACATCAAATGTGCAAATACAGAGTACTGAACAAAGGAAGTGCAAATCTACAAACCCTGTACAAATACAGTGTAGTGAAGAAAGAAAGTGTAAACGCATGAATCCAGCGTAGTTTACCTGGGGGCATGCTCATCATAAGTGATAGGTTTGTTAACTTCTGGGAGTGCTGATGCTGAACTTCTGTCTTCCTTGTCATCAGAGCCACTGCTAGGAACACACACAGATGTGCTGCCATCAGCCATGACCTATAATAGAAATTATACAAAATGAATTGAGTTACATGATACCTTTAAAAGAGTAACTTGCTGCTGAACTGTAACATGACCTAGCCCAGTGAAAGAGACAGAAAAAACATATTTCAGGATGAGCAACCTGGAATTCACAGGAAAAAAAAACAAAGAAAACTGAAAAGATAGTGAAAAAGGCAAAACAAGCATTTCTAGAAAGATGTGCTATATCATAAATGCTAGTATCACATGCTGATTTTTAATAAATGCTCAAGGATTGTTAGTCGTCACACAGGGCCATCTGTGACATTCCATCTTCAACATATATAGCTGCAGGCATCAATAGGCAACTTCACACAAAAATACTCACTTGCTGGTCAAGCCAGGTAACCGTATACTCAGGTACTGATGTACCTCTGCGAGGTATGTATGTATCTATGGATATACACCTATACACAGAGGTACACACAAATATATACAAATTTATATACATGTCTATATGCTAATATGTTAGTTAATAATTACATAGTACATACATATACTCACATATAGGTGTATATATAAATATAAATGTGTGTATACATATAGAAATGTGTATATACATACAGATGTGTGTATGTATATAGGTATATAGGTGAATGTATGTATAAATATATACCCCTATACACACACCTTTATATACTTGTTGACATATAAAGAGATATAAATTATATATATATGCATTATATATATTTATCCATCTACCTATATATACATGGTGTATATACATATGTATAAATATATACACATCTATATATATGTTGATATATGAAGAAATATAAATAGATATAGATACAGATTATATATTTTTATATATACCTATAGGTATATATGTATAGAGGGGTCCCTTTTTAGGCATTTTTTCACTTCAAAAATACGGTCTCAGATAATCTTATGATAATACTGAGTAAATTTCTACAGTATTTCCTTCGTGTCATTATTAACTTACGTGCCACTGACATATGCACACAAGGTATAATAATACCTCAAATTCCTAGTGCAGTCAGTTGAAGGAGAGATGCCTTGGGAAGACACAGTTTAAACCAGAGTGATTCAAAGGGCAGTCCATGAACTGAACCTGACACACCCAGTCCGCGCCCATTTCTCTGTACTCTCAGGTGTGACTAGGGCAGAGGAAGAGCCAATCCTATCACACCCGCACCTCGTTGCCATCCCTACCAACCATTAATCTCACCTTTCTTACTACAGCCCCCCATCCACATCCCCTGCGACCAGTGCTCCTGCAATACCTTCAACTGCCCCACAGCCGCCTCAGCCTCCTTCCTTCGTGCCCTAAGTATCAGCTGAGAAACAGCAGGACGTGCTGACGCTGATGCCGAGCAACTTCTGTGCTGCTCTGAATTGCATTGATTTTGTAGGAACTTGGTATCTTTGAAATTTCTAACCCTCTGTTGATTAGTTCAAAATTTGTTAGGGAGACTGACAGACAGCATAGATTTATATAAGCACTGCTTCTTCAGCCTAGGAAATCAGGTTAAAAACTGTATTATAATGTATATGTCCAGCAGAACCTCAGTGCTCTTTCACAGGCATCTGGGACAATGGTAATGATTACCATTGCAACAACAGAAAGCGTACTCTAAGGATGTCGCATTTAGAATCTTTTATTAGAACCTTTAATTAGAAAACAGTACGTAGGTCACAGAGGCTTAGACAATGTTTCCTGAACTCAAAACTAAGTACTAACCTAACTCAAAAATATCTCTTAGGTGTGAAAAGATCACAGCACAATCAGTATGACTTTAAAGACTGAATCATTCCTTTTACAACAATATTTGCCTTACCAGGCAGATTACAGCACGTCTATGGACCTTCTGAAAAGCCAATATCCTCTCTCATTTTTAATCCTCATTTGCTGAGATGATTTTTTGCTATAAGGCAAGTCATGCTAATTAAGGTAACTACAGGTGAGGTAAACCGTAGACCATGTGTTTTATCTTAATCTCTCTAAAAAGGGGGAAATACCAAAAAAGGGAAACCCATTACATCATCAAGAACATTTCAGAGACCTGATTCAGGAGCTGTTCCTTCTGGCTAGCTAGGCTACTTTCGGAATAAGTACTACCAGGCTACCAGCTGACTTTGAGAGATGTTTATAAGATTAGTTAAAATGCAGAAACTTGTTTCCTTCCATGTATTTTACCTTGAAAAGATTTCCTTCAGGATCCATCATCTCACAAATAGTGCTGGAAGTGTGTTTCATAATGTATCTCCCTGCTTGTTTCTCTTCTTTCTTGCTGATGAAATCGTAAACTTCATGGGTATAAACTGCTGAGCAATCTTCATCAATGAAAAGAGAGCCTGTCTTGATGGGTAAAACCTATCACAGTAAGAAGGGAAAAGGTTCAGTCCTGAAAGGTGAAATCTTCAGTTTAGAAGTACCATGAAAATGAAGAACAGATGCAAATCAAGAGGAGAGCTCTCAGACCTTTACTACTGAATCATCCAGTTTTGAGGGACTAGAGAGAGGAAGAAGGAAGATGAGGTCCAGGAGTTAGGCTGATGTTAGTCTCTGTAATATTTTCTTTAACTTCAGGAAATTTAAGCTTGTGATTTGAATATTAATATTTAAATATGCAGTTGTTAGGAAATACCATAGAATCGTAGAATATCTCAAGTTGGAAGGGACCCATAAGGATTATCGAGTCCAACTCCCTGCTCCTCACAGGACTACCTAAATCTAAACTGTATGACTTGAGAGCATCGTCCAGATGCTCCTTGAACTCTGACAGGCTTGGTACCATGACCACTTCCCTAGGGAGCCTGTGCCAGTGACCAACCACCACCTCAGTGAAGAACCTTTTCCTAATATCCAATCTGAACTTCCCCTGATGCAGTTTCATTCCATTGCCTCGCGTCCTACCACTGGTCACCAGAGAGAGCAGATCAGCATGTCCCCCTCCGCTGCCCCCCTTGAGGAAGTTTAGACTGCAATGAGGTCACCCCTCAGCCTTCTCCAACCTGAACAAACCAAGTCACCTCAGCCGCTCCTCATAAGTCTTGCCTTCGAGACCTTTCACCATCTTGGTTGCCCTCCTCTGGACACACTCTAATAGTTTGATGTCCTCCTTATATCGAGGTGCCCAAAACTGCACACAGTACTTGAGGTGGGACCACACCATTGCAGTGTAGAGTGGGACAATCACCTCCCTCGACCGGCTAGCTATGCTGTGCTTGATGCACCCCAGGACATGGTTGGCCCTTTTTGCCACCAGGACACACTGTTGACTCATATTCAACTTGCCATCCACCCAAACACCCACATCTCTTTCCGCAGGGCTGGTCTCCAGCTTCTCGTCCCCCAGTTTGTATGTATAACCAGGATTACCCCATCCCAGGTGAAGAATCTGGCACTTGATCTTGTTAAATTTCATGCAGTTGGTGATTGCCCAGTTGTCTAGTCTATCCCTATCTCTTTGTAAGGCCTCTCTACCCTCGAGGGAGTCCACAGCTCCTCCTAGTTCAGTATCATCATCAAACTTACTTAATGTACATTCAATTCCTACATCCAGATCATTTATAAAAATGTTAAAGAGCACTGGCTCTAAAATTGAACCCTGCGGAACCCCACTGGTGACTGGCTGCCAGCCTCATGTAATCCCATTTACTATAACTCTTTGAGCCTGACCCATCAGCCAATTGCTCACCCAACGTATTATGGACTTGGTCTAGCTGTGTGCCGGACATTTTGTCCAGAGGGATACCATGAGAGACAGTATCAAAAGCTTTGCTAAAACAAAAAAACCCTACTGACTTCCCTTGGTCAACCAAATGGGTGACACTGTCATAAAAGGAAATCAAGTTAGTTAAGCAGGACTTTCCCCTTGTGAACCCGTCCTGGCTATGACCAATGACTGTATTGTCTCTCAGGTGTTTTTCAATAACTCCCAGAATAACCTTCTCCACAATTTTACCAGGCACTGAAGAGAGACTGACAGGCCTGTAATTACCAGGGTCTTCCTTCTTACCCTTCTTGAAAATTAGGACAACATTTGCCACCTTCAGTTGACTAGGACTTCTAATATCTAAATATTGGCAGAGTATAAAAGAGGGAGAATCACAGGATACGTGAAGGCCGTAGAGAAGGGAGTTAAAATAGTCAAGGTGAGAGATGCTCATGGCAGGGATCTTGGAACACAAAGATACATTTCACTGTCACAAACTAAAAATAATTCCCACCTGATATGTTCCCTGTGGCTTTGCTATAATAGATGTCCCATCTCCAAAGACAGTACGACAGGTACCATCCTCACAATTTGTTATAACGGTAGCAAACTCAGGATTCTCTACTTGCACAGATTTCACCTTCCTTGTGATGGCTTCCGAGGGTTCATCTAAGAATTAATACAGAACAACTAGACAGGAGCACATGAACCATGGAAAAGTCTTAGGATTCAATTTGCTTTTTCTCCCATAAGGCTGGACCTTTATCTCCTCAGTAAAAGACCCTCAGGCTTCATAACTTCCTTTATCACATAATTTTATGTTAGGTAAACAATATGCAACCTTCAAATTTTTGGACTGTGCACTAAATACAGGAAAATCCAACAGCAAAAAACATCTGTAACTATCTGTGGCTGGTGTGGTCAGGAGAGTACTCTCTAATTTATCAAGTACAGTACTAACCGTAATGATCTGGATATTTGTAACATACAAGTGGGACTACTAAAATTTTTTATACCTGTGATACAAGCTCTAAGATGTGAAGAAATTCCTTTTCAGCAGCAGAAGTCAGGGAAAACAAATCAAACTGGCATGTTAATTTGGCCATTGCCTTCCCATTGAATAGACAGACCAGTTCAAGGTCATTGTTTTGATTTTTAAAATCCCACAGGGAGGTGTTCCACAACCAGAACTTTCTGCTGTGTTTGAACAGGACAGTCCTGACACCCACACAGTAAATACACACTTCATGTTAATTACAGAGCTTACCCAGCAACTGAACTAAGCGTACAGAATATACTGTCAGCCAGAAGAAACACAGGTGACCGTTAGTCCCACTCGTTTCAGGCAAATGTAGCTTCACTGCTACTAGATGTGGCATTTTCCACAGCCGTATTTGATCAAATTTTGAATACCTCTGAGGTGGGTGTGTCCACGGCCTCACTGGGGAATATGAGGATGCCTTGGTCCTTATACACCTCTTCAGTTAAGCCTCAAATCAACTTGCTTGTTATATCAGGGTAGGTGGAGAGCAGGCAACCAACATACTAGACATACTCAGGCACCGTTGTCTCATGGGAAAAGTGGGTCATGTAAGTATATCCATGGAAAGAAGGAAATTTGCTTGTTTGCTACAATGTAGTTTTTGCACTGAATACTGATGAAAAAAAGACCAAGCAGACAAACTGAGCGTAGACTGCACTAGTGGATTTGTTATCTAGGCTATTGGCATGAGCCTTCTTTAGTATATTTTGACAATTGTCTGCTTCACAAGATAGAGCAGAGATAAGTGCTCCCCTTTTGATTTTACCTGTTTCCTCGCTATCCTCTGGTACAAAAAGTGCTTTACAGTTTTGATAAAAAGTCGTGATCCTAGTGCCATCAGCATGATCTACTACTCTGCTACCATCCAGCTTCTCAACAATTACCACTTCATCGTCTCGTACAGTCATAACCTGGAAGAATGAAGGAATACTCATTTATATTAGCTCGGCGATACTTGTAACAGCAACAACAGTAAAACAAGGCATTACGTACTGCAACTCTGATGAAGCTAGACTACTGCAACTTTATCTACTTCAGAGACCGAGGACTCGCATTTTCCTCAAAATCCAAAGCTTTTGTATTAGTAACAGTGTAACACAACCTGTAGGGTATACGTTCAAGGAACAGATCCTACAACTTATATGACGGCAGCCCTGTCTCTTAGCTTAGTAGACAGTGCTATAACAACACAAAAATAGTCATACCGTTCCATCAGCTGGGTCAGTTGCCTGATAGATTAAGAGTGGCTTCAGATCCATTCTCTTTGCTCCCTCAGTGCCCACTCGAATGCCTGCTGGAGTAGTTGTTATCCAGGTTCCTGCCTGGTTCTCCTTAGGTTGCTCAGAATTAACCAGACCCTGCGCAATATTTTCAAACAACTCATCTTTGTTTGGGTGTGATATACTGTTTCTGTCACTGCCTTTTCCTGCAGAAACAAAAATTTCTGTATCAGACTTGGTATTCTCTAAGGCAAAAGACAAAAATCAATAAGGTGAAGAGTTTCTGTGAGTATTGGTTTTGACAGAATTGAAAGAAGAACTATTTATCAGGCTGGAGAAAAATTACAATTGCTGTTACTCAAAGGTGTGCCCTTGAACTAATCTTATTTAATGTGTTCATTAATGACACAGAAAAAGTAAACATCACGCTAACAACATCTGATTATGACATGACTTTGGAAGGGACTATCAATGCAGAAGAAAATCTGAATGGACTACAGAAAAAAAAGCATCCAAAACTGTCCCACAAGCTTGAAGATTAAAGTAATAGAAATTTGATACAGCCTATTAGAATGAAATTTAATGCAAAAAGGAGTAAAAATAATTTACGCTTCAGATAAGTTTGTAACAGTAGAAAAAAAGAAAGACCTGGAGGTATCATCCATAGAGAATGACTACAAGTGATCGGTGTGAAAACAAGGTGACAAGAAAGGCAAACACAACCCTATGGCGCATCAGAAGAAAAGGGATGAAGATTCCGTTGTGAAAGGTAATGGTGAGATCTTATTACGAATGTGATAGAGTTCTCCCATATTCAAGAAAAGGAACTTAGTCTAAGTGTATGCAAAAGACAATAGCACAGTCCAGAGAGGAGTCCAAAAGGCTTACAGCATATGCATCATAGCAAAAAAAAAACCAAACCCCAAAATAGCCAAAAAAACCAGCCACAAAGACATGAAACTTTTCACTATAAATTTGTCAAGACTAAGCAGTGGAGAGGAAAGGTGGGGGAAAACGTGATCATAAATAAAGGATAAGGAATAAAGGGTATACAGAGATACTAACACTGAAAATTAGAAGATGGTTTGTCAGGGAAGTTCTCAAACATCCTTCTAGTTCTCCTAAGAAACATCCTAAGAACAAGGACTGGACCTGATGACTTGAAAGTCTCCTTTTTGAGAGACTTTTCTCTTTGGCAGCAACTTCCAATAAATTATATGTTAATATTATGACAGGTCATAATTATTCTTTCCACCAAGTAAAACTGACAGTGATCTTGGACTACACTCTGAGGTATGAAGTAAACTTTTATTTGGTTCTTTCTCAGCCAAACAAAATAATGTAAAAATGGTTATATTGGGACAGACCACAAGTCCATACAACCAATTATTAATGACAAATAGTAGGTGCTTTGGAATACATACAATGAGAAAGAAAAATATAGCAAGTCCTCTGCGAGAGAAGCATTTCTCAATACCAAGACAAAAAACCTGTGTAACGCATAAGTAAGGATTTGACACTACCGTAGTTACAAGGATTTCTTTTAAAATACTTTGTGTTGAATCACTTTGCTACCAATGTAGTTCTTACCCTTTTAGAGTCCTAGCATGTTAGGAGAAAAAGAAATCTGGAGTAGGAGAGAAATTATTTGATATGAAGGTAACAAACGAGCAGTGTGCAGCAGCTCAGTACAGATAAAATTGCATTTTCACGCTAGCAGAATTATCAGTCTAAAGAAATATGCCCTTTATTAAGTATCATCAGCCCTACTAACTTTAAATCTGTCCAAAACACTGGAAACTTTACCTTTCTTAGTGGTGGTCTCGGGTGAAGGCTCTGAGTCTGGTAACGGTTGCTGGTTATCTGGAATTGTAGGTGGTGGCAAGACGGGGCCAGAATCAGGACTTGTACTCACTGTGCCATCAGCAAACAGAATCTACAGCAATCAAGGACATACTAGAGGTTAAAATCACTTCAAACACCAATAGAAAGTCTCAAAAGAATGTGTCGCAAATGTAGTAGTCGCTAGAATATTGTGGGTGATAGAGTGGAAAAAAGTAAGAGACTTGCAGAATGAATACAAGAAATAAAGAAGCTGTCTCAAAAAGAAAGGACTGCTAATTGCTGCAGTTTACATACATAATTAATGAGGACTCTAGTAACAAACAGGCATTGTAAAAGTAAACAGTAAAGATTATTCTTTGACTATTTAAGTGGTCAAATGCTGATGACTTTTTTTGTAGCAGTAGTAATGCATCTGTATCACCATATTGATCTGTATTCAGGTATTCCACATATCTAGGATTGCTGTTAATTTTTTATCCATCAAGACAGCTAACAAAAAGAAGTCATGGTTATTTATCTTATTATAGCTGTTTTCTGAGATCTATTGTCCATTACACCCAATTCTTCCCTGTGCCACAGGGAATAATTGTCCCTGAATTCATTACAAATACAGTACGGATGTTCTAGGCAGAAGACAGTACAATGTGGAAAACAAACGGACAACATATAGAAACATCTCCAGAGTTACAGTTACTGTAAGGTAATTCACTATTTCTTCTTTTTTGAATGCTTGTCTATATGCAATACATTCTAGATGAGTCACAAATATTAAGTTAATATAAAGGACACACTCATAAACTGCTTATACAGAGACTATGGTACAATTATGCTAGGCACACAAGACCTATATTCTTCTGTCAGAAGAGAGTGTGTTGAGAATATATAGACATACAGCAGCTAGCTTCTTTGCATACTTTTGGAATGGATATGTTTCTCAGAAATCCTGGCTAAATGGTTTAAGATCCAATGTAATGAATGAACGTAAAGAACTTGTACCAGGAGTTGTGGTCTACTTAGAAAAAAAAACGTGAGGAATTATTTTGGCAGTTTCTGAGTCAAAACAGAGGACTCCTCTCTTTATCTGTTTGCTAACTACACATAAACTCTTTGCTTTAAAAAGATAGTGGCTTGTAGATTGATTACAGTATCTGCAAAGATGGTATCTAGCCTATAGCACCTGAAAGGTACCAGAATTCTGGGCGACCTAAATATGTGTAAACAAAGAAGGTACTTAGGAATATAAAGTCTTTTTAATGAAAATTTAGGATACCTAAAGGTGTCTTCAGGACTGAAGAAGAATTCAGGTCTTTTCTGGATCCCATATGATTGTTTAGATGACTGAAAAAATATATGGATGCTTTTGTGCTGCCAAAAATACTCAAAAGTCCAACTAGCCCATACTTCAGATGTTTAAGTCCAGGAATGTAATACTCAAAACCATATTTGGCTATTTCCTAATCCAAAAGTTGCCTAAAATCTTCACATGCCTAAAATTTTCATCATTAAAGCTGTCTATTTGCCTTAAGTTCCGATTCTGAACAAAGTCAAGAGCATTTTAGTCTTGACATGGCTGCATAACTCAGTGGTTACTTAACTTCTTCATCTACAAACTGGACACTTCTCTATCTCAGTTGACAAGCACAAGTTCAAGGGTAATCACACACGCAGGCTGCTTTCAGTGACATGTACTAAACATACCTGGGTAGATCCATCCATCATGTACTTTATAACAGTTCCTTGAGTGGTGATGACTCTTGACACCTCTTGTTCTGCTTGCCTTGCCACAGATGTATAAAGGCGAGAGTTCTTTACCTTTTGGGGATAACTCTGCCTAACCAGAATTTCCACAGCAGGCTGCTTGGCCTGTTCTCTTCTGGTGTCTTTGTGCTTTATTTCACCTTCTGTAACCTCATGTTCCTTCTCTCCACTTTCTGTAACCTCTTCCTCCTTTGCTTCATCTGCTTTGGCCTCACTTTTCTTTGCCATCTCTTTCTCAGCTTCAGCTGTAGTGGCTTCACCTTTCGAATCTGAAAACAAATTCTGCATTACTTAATACTGTGTAGCACACATTCAAACAGTGCTAACACCCAGCATCATTCTGCATGTCTACAGAAGGTATGAAACTTTAGGTGAGTAAGAGTAACCCTCCTTGGCTTCCTCTGTAATCCACAGAGTAAGGGACAGGCTCTGTTTCAAAGCAGTCATCTACTCAGAAATTCTGCATCCTCCTGTCTTTCCAAATGAAAACAAGGGAAATCTGAAGATGGATTTATTATGGATGCTGAACTTTCGGAAGACTGACATTAGGTGAGAGGAATTTCCTAACTGCCCACAAAGGTGAAAATAGTTACGGAGTTTCACCAAGTTAGATATTTTGTCTACTTGAACAAATAAGGCTCTTAGATTAAATTATGACAGTGTTTTGAGTGTGCTAATGAGTATAATTATGGTAGCTGTATCAAGAGACCACATGTATGTGTCCGTAATTGCTCTGGTCACCTCAACTTTTCAGCATTTCAACTCATGCTCCTTGCCAAAATATGTATGTTTGAAAACCCTCTGCATCCTCTTTACTTCATACCAGACCGATCTGAGCACATTCACTCTAAACTGGCAAAACGTGCCAAGCTGGCTACACCCACAGGGGCATTATTAGCAGAGACAGAGATGTGATCATCCCACTCTACTCGGCATTTGTCAGGCTACGCTTGGAGTACTGTGTCCAGTTCTGGTCCCCACAATTCAAGACAGACATGGACAGACTGGAGACGGTCCAAAGGAGGGCCACAGAGATGATCAAATGGCTAGTAAGTCTGTCTATGAGGAAAGATTGAAGGAGTTAGGTCTCTTCTTCCTGGAGAAGGCTCAGCGGGGACCTCACCACGGTGTTCCAGCACTTAAAGGGCAGTTACAAAGAGAACAGAGGCTCTCTCTTCACAAGGAGCTACATGGAGAAGACAGGGGACAATGGGCACAAGTTGTACTGGGAGAGGTTTCATCTCAATATAAGAAATTTTTTACGGTGAGAACAATCATTCACTGGAACAACATCCCCAGGGACGTGGTAGAGACCCCATTGCCGTAGGTTTTCAAGATGCAATTGGACAGGGTGCCAGATAATCTCATCTAGGCTCCCTTTTCCACAAAAGGTTGGACCAGGTGATGTTTTGAGGTCCCTTCCAACCTGGGCTGTTCTATGATTCTGTGATTTTGATATTAAAAGGAAAGACATGTCCAAGAAGAAAGAGGAGGGAAACTTTTACTAGCAATTCAGGTCCACGTGGCCAAAAAAAACCCAAACAACCAAAAAACCATCAAGACATTCCTCTCTCACATGATTATAAATTTGTGCCGGATCCTTGTGTACCGTACTACATTTATTAATGCTATTTAATATAAATTTCTTATTTTTTATTAATTTATACACAGTAGACTTACCACTTGGCTGCTTTCTAAGAGGTATGTCATTTCATTAGTTGCCAGGAAGACAAATGATTCTGCTGGGGTTTTTTTATGCAACAGCTCATGCATAGGATACGTTGGATTTACTGCTAGCATGTACTTGGTGTGTGTGATAAATCTGGTTTATTCCTGGATATGGGCACCTCTGCAGTTGTGCTGATCTATTTTCACATACTCAATAGCTCCAATACAGCCTGGGCTGGACAGATTTGTTATACATCGGTATTAAATGACACCTGTAGGTAGCCGTTTTTAAAACTGACCGGGTGACAACAGCAAAATTCACACTTTTCTGCTTCAAAACCTAATGGTGTGACTACAAAAATCCAAGATTTACTACAGTTTATAGTATGCAAAGATGAACCTCATGCTAGTTTTCAAAAACACTGGGAAACGGAATCGTTGCAGAGGGATGTCACGCACAAACTACAAGTATCTATATAGCCTACCGGTCTTCAAAAGGAAATTCAATAAGGGCAGAAAGCCTTATTATGACCGTGTTTTCTGTATGTACCGGATGGCATAAACCAAAGGACTTATGTGAAGTAATTCCTGTTTGAAACTGATCGTATCTTTTAGAAAGGCAACAAAACCTGACTGTAAAATATCCAGTAGCAGAGAGTCCATCACAGCCTGGGTTAGTTTTGTTAATGATTCTTACCATTAAAAAATGAGTATAACTTAAATCTAGCACAAAGTACTACTTTTCAGTTTCAAGCCCCTCAAATCTGTAATACCTTTTTGTATACTGTGTTTACAAGCTCTCTGTTTACAGGCTATCACCAAAATTCTGTTTCCTTTGTACTTCCAGACTTGCATCAGTCACTCCTTTGACCTTTTCTTTGGTAATTAAATTAAGTTCTCTGGTGCATAAGCTCACTATAAGATATCTCTTCCAATGCTTCAATCATTATTGTCATTCTCCCCTGAATCTTTCAAAATATGAACATCTTGTCTTGTGGACTTAAAACCAATACATACGATTGATTGCAAAGGAGGTGCAGATATAGGTAACATAACAAGCTTCCTGTTGTCGCTCAAGATTCCTTGATATAGATAAAGATATATATATATATATATATGCGCGTTCATGAATTGAATTTTCTCTGTTTTCTTTAATATTCCAATATACATGCATATTCAACTGATTATCTGACATGACTCCCAAGTGCTTTTTAGGGTTGCTGCTGCCCTGCCCCCAATCTGTTATGTCCAACAACTTGCAATTCTAGATTTTACATTTGTTTGAAGTAAAACACATTATTTATGTTGCAAATACTATTAAATAGACATTATGACAGACTTGGAGACATTGAAAAAATTCATATTGTTACATCTAAACCCATCAAGGCAGAAATAATTTTCTCCTGTAATTGTAACTTCTTTTAAAATTCCTTACTTTGCAGCGGCTCGGAAAACTAACCTCCAAAACTTTCACCAAGGAAAGTTAATACTAGTCCATTGGGACAGGAGACGTTCAAACTTGGGAAAGCAATAGCATTTGACATCACTTGTGTTTGGAACGCTGATTCTTCCATTTCCATCTATGGAATGAAATACAAATTAGTTTTATTCCACATTTTAAAAGAATAAAGAAAAAAATTAGGCTAGAGATTTCAGTTGTAACAAAACATTTAAAAAAAAGGAGTGCTTTCTATCATTCATTTTTAACATTTTGAGAGCTTGTAGATTCTGAAGTGGAAACATTAGCTTATTTTCTTCGATTACACTCTCTTCTTTCATTCCTCTATATTAACCCTTGAAGAACAACCCTTCCTAACTTTATTCATTTTGCTGAGTGATTATGCTACTTTGTACACAGCGTCAAGATGACAATAAATGGATAACGTGAAGCAGAATAGCGTGAAATAATTCTTGAAATTGCACATCAATTATTTTACCTATAATCACTAAAAGAGCACAAAAGGTAAGTAAAGCAGTACTTCCAGTCTGCTGCAGATACAGCGCTGACCCGAGAAGGGGACAGGAAGGAATGTTTAGTAGTCAAAATGTGTAATTCTCTCTGTAGTGGAAACTGTTCTGATGACTAGAAAGGATGAGGTTGACCTAAGGAATGTCTGAAGACCCTGGAACATTTGGAAAAAATACAACAATAGACCCTTTGACGTCATCCGCCCAAAAAGCTATGTGACAATGAACTACGCTATGCCTGTCGTCATAAGATGAAAACAGTTTTGGGTTGCAGACAGAGGTAACAGAGAGGACTCGTCCTGGTATTACCCCATGTTTTCAATTTTTAGGAATAGAAATACAGGGAAAAATTGGCCGATGCTTTGCCACCTGTTTTTCAGCATAAAGGATGATGTACATTTTATAGTTACTTTACACAGTATCACTGGGTAATTAAGGCTATCCTCAATACCCTAAGATCGTAGCGACAGGATCATGGAGTAGAAGTCACGCTCAGTTGTCATTTACTTCCTCCTGTCTAACGGTTAAAAAAAAAAAAAATCAATTATGTCTACATCGTTAGAGAAAACTGTTAACATAACCGATTTAAAAAATTTCCAGGACTGGAGGTTTCCTGGCAATCTATTCTAGTACTTTACCTTGACTAACCTTACTGACATTTTCCTATTGGTTAGCCTGAATCTCTCTTGCAAAAAATTAGTTTACTTCGGATTATTTCTTCTGATTACATGGGTAGCATAAGAGATGGTGGTGTCCCTTTAGCTCTTTACAGAAGGCTATTCTGTTTCTCAACTCTACATCAAACAAACCCAAACCAAGCCTTTTAATCTTTCCCCACCAGTCAAGTTTTCTAGACGTCTGATTTTTCTTCGTGCTTTCCTTAGAACTCTCCAGTGTGACCCACATTTTTCTTGCAGTGCAGCATCCATAACTGGACACAATACTCCAAGTGAGGCCCTACCAGCACTGAATGGAAAATAACTTCACATATTTAGCAGGCTATACTCATGTTTATTCACCTCAATGTAGTCTTTGCCCTTCTCACAGCAAGATGGCATTGTTGACTTAGGTATAGCTTGTGATCCATTGCAACTCTCAGACCTTTCTCTGCAGAACGGTTATCGATAGAACTGTTACTCATTCTATGCAAATATATCCATTATTTACATCTAACTGTAGAACCTAGTATTTATTCTTACTGAATTGCATCCTATTTTCCAGACCACGTCCATGTGAATTTGTCAAGTTTGCTTTGGATTTTAATCCTGTCCTCCAAAATAACTTGCAGACACATAGCCGCGAGCTGTATGCACTAATATGGATACGCTCTGTCTTTCAGAGTTTTTATTAAAACACCAAAAATGGACTGAGGACATTTTAAACGAAATAGTAAAAAGCCTTCTGGAAGAAGAGGAGGAACTTAGATGTCCTCCTGACAGAATTTTAATGGTAAGGGAATTTGTTTGTCTAGAGTTTGTTTATACCACACAATTGCTGTGTGTTATGCTGAGTGCTGTTTGGCAACTCCCTACACCACCTTCCATGCTCATGCTCTTTAAATACCTACCTAAACTTGTTGAAATTAGGTCATCAGGACTTCTTGTGGCTATGGACAGAATCCACATTGAAACAAGAGCTACAGCATTACTTCATCCACTAGGTAGCATGGAAGCAGCACAGCTATTTTGTGTTTAGAGAGTCTTCCAAGGCTATTCCTGCAGCTCTCAGTATGTTATCATTCTTGTCTTATTCTTATTACTCTCTCCTCTCATTTGCTCTGTAATGGAAGCTATCTCCTGTTTTGATTAAACCTGCACTGCATTTAACCCTTCACTTCCATATTGCCCATTCTGCTTCTTTAAACAGTTCAGCCCAGCTCTCTCACCAGAATTATGATCTCCATTCAACCTCCCTTGCCAAGGGACCTGAGAAGATAACTCATAAACCTCTCATGAGTGCATAGCAGGAGTGACTTTGAGAGAAGTGGTCAAAGTAAGCAGAGTAGACAAAAGACCAATTTTTCAAGACATAGTTCTGAAAAAGAAATGAACAGATCTTTAGACCAGAAGGTAGTGACTCTTTTTGGGGCAGTGCCCTAGAAAATGGTAACAAGAACTAAAGCAGTGTTTCATGAAATGCCTTGGGAATTGGAAGCCACTACAGTTGAATGAACTAGTGTTAATTTTCCATGGAGAAAGTCGGAGGAACAGGACAAAAGAGAAAACAGTGCAGGAAAACATGGCAGACCTGGTGCCACTCATGTTCTCTACATATCACCCATCATCCTGTGGAAGAAGCAGAATATAAAAGGGAGGAATGACTGAGTTAATGGAAAATGATTGGTCATGAAAAGTGTTATATGCAGTAGATTGGACTTAAATTTGGCTCAGGTTGAGAACCTGGACATAACTCATACCCTTGCTGGTCTGTGAGACCACTGGATCAAACAAACCTCTGATGGTTGCCTAAAATATTCTGCCAATAGTTAGCTAATGATCTGAAATAAGCTAGGTTAGTCATTTTGCAGAGGGCAATGGTGACCCATTTCTGAACTCATATGGCCTCCCCCACTCACATGTTTTTATGCCAAAAAAAGCTTCTCATAGAGCTTTGTGGAAGATGTTCAAGATTAAACGCTGTGCATTTCTGATGCACATGGTCCTGTGATTCCTGTATTAATCTGTGCTAAGTATTCCATAACAGAAATTCAGAATTTGCTTTTGAAATGTCATCCCTCCTTTCGAAAGGACTGTCCTGTGATAGAAGTACTTCAGTTATGGGCAAAAGTAACTTCTTCAAGTTGCTGGTCCCTGGCTTGTGATCAGCTAGAAACTGAAAATTGCAGATCAAGCTTTTGCAAAACTGTCTCCACTAATTTACCGGTTGGTTAGACTTTCTGATACAGGTTTTGGAAAGCACAGAAAAGTTCTCCTACTTGGTTAAAGTAAAAATTAATTTCTAGAGCAGTTCTAGTCCCTGAGATATTAATAATGTAACAGGTGTAACTGTAAAGCCAAAACGGACACAAGTATGTGGACCATGGAAGACACACTGCTTTATATCATGGAGTCATAAAGGAACTTTAATTTCAGTAACAGCTGCCAACATGTACATCTGAGAACAACTGGAAGAGTAAAACATACCCTTAGAAGCACGATAAATTGTTAGGAATTTGTCAAGGCACAGCTCAAAGCCATCTGAGAAGAATATGTATTTGAGTTTTTGTTTGTTTCTTTTCTGTGTTCATTGGATAATATCTATGCTCTCACCTTTCCTTCTTCTTGCTTTACCAGGTCACCAGGTGGTGCAGGGCCTATTTTGCTATGGCTTGCTTTCATAGATAGCAGAGATTTTCCTGATTTTTGTTTGGCAGACTTATCTTTTTTTCCAGAAGCTGATGGGGCAGGAGAAATTATGGTCGGAATATGAACAGAAGGGATGTTCAGAATTCTTGCTAAGACAGGATCTGTTTTATCATCTAAGGGAAGGAAAAGCAATATTTTTAATGCAATTAAGTTTCATAAACGTAGATAGCCACATTTTATTTTTAACAAGATTTTGTAAACTAAATTTTACCTTAGAAATAACAACCTCGGGGGGGGGGGGGTTATTATTTCAGATAGAGGGACTGAACATATGAAATTTTAAAAAAAAAAAAAAAATATCTTTCCACAGACTGACTACTTGTCAGCCTAAAAGGCATCTTGAAACTATTGTTTCCCACAGGTCATCACTTGTCTCTCAAAAACAGAACACACAAATTTTGTAAAAAAAATTTTTCCTTAAAAAAAAAAACCCCCGGGGGGGGGGGTGTTATTATTTCAGATAGAGGGACTGAACATATGAAATTATTTAAAAAAAAAAAAAATATCTTTCCACAGACTGACTACTTGTCAGCCTAAAAGGCATCTTGAAACTATTGTTTCCCACAGGTCATCACTTGTCTCTCAAAAACAGAACACACAATTTTTAAAAATTCTCTTTTACCTCCAGAATACTTAGATAGGTGGAAACATTTTGAGTCTAGTGCCTAGGAAATGATCACTGTTGTTATGCTTTATCATGGGCTGATCCAGCACCGACCGACTCCAGCAGTTTTGCACTACGTAGCTCTATTTTGCTATAACGATTGAGAAAAATTCTGATGATCTACATTTGCTAAGACTCTCCCAGTTCTTAAAGGCCAAGCGTTAGGGCAGCCTGCTAAGCATGTTAACAGGAAGTAGTCATGTTGCCTTCCAAAACAGTTTCTTGAAAATAAAATTAATACAAAGTAAGATTTTCTGTAAAACTTTTTTGTTTCAAACTGACACTTTTCTTTAATCAGGAAAACCCAGCCAGCTCTAACCTTAACATTTTTTTTTGGAAGATTTTTTTTTTTTAATCATCTTTTCTTGCTTGAAGGCAGCCTAAATCCCAAACCTACAACTCATGAAATACCACCTTGTTTCCGATCCAGACAATTTAAGCAATTTAATTCTTGGTTGTTTTGGAAAACTTGTTACCCCCGATGGAGTAACTTATTATCCACATCTTAACCACACCCATATAGATAAGAACCAAAAACACCAGTAAGCAAAACATGATGATCTCAGAAACCATCTTTTGAAAACCTTTTTTAAATAAATCAAGCAAGCTTGATTTGCTTAGTAGTTTCTACGAAGGATGAAGCTTGATGACAAGTCAGTCATTTCAAGAACATCTTCAGGAAGACTTCTAAAAAATCCTTCTTTTTGTTGTTTTGGTAAAATTACATTTTAATTCTTCTTCCCATGAACAGTATTATTTAATGTGAAAACTGATCCATCAGGCAAAGAAAAGTTAAATAACTCATTAACAAACTGCAAGCCAGATCCCATTCAGACAAAGAAGGAAAGACATGCATCTGGAAGCGTGCTAATAGAACCATTCTGGTGCGAGATCATTGCATTTTCTGTAATGCAGATGAAGTGTTAGTATATCTTTGGCTGAAAGAGATAAAAGGTAGGCCTGAGCGCTACTATGTCCACTGTTTCCAGAAAGGTTTTAGCATAGATGGTTTTAGCTCTGCAGATAAGAAAATACGGAGGCCATCTTAAAAATAAAGTTCTAAACTACTAGAAAGGCTGCCTGCATGTTCATTTGCCTTATGGATGATTCTGGATTTATGGCAACTGCAAAGGTGACCCAAAATTTAAGACTCTCAGGCTAGAAGAAACTATTAGATCATCTGGTGATAAAGTGCTATTTGGGAGTCCATGGATAACAAGCCTTCCACCTCAGTTTTTAACCCTTCAATCTCAGTTTTCGCCTTGGTGCCAGAATTAGGGAAACGCACAGATATCTGAATATATCCATGGCCTTTAGCCACAAAGATTTTTGAAATCCCTGCTTTCATTAGCTGATGGCATGAGAGTCTGACTCTTTGTTAGGTGGCTCTGCTTTCATGAACTGAAATTTATGCTGTGTGGCTTCTACAGCTTATTGGAAGTCTGAGGAAAGGCAAACAAATCTGTTTTATTTATAATATGCTAGAGAGAAATTCTCAGCTTATTATATAAAACAGGAAAGTTTAAAACTCTCCATGGGGTCCTTTCTGATACACATTTATTAGACAGTATGGCCACGGAATAAACAAGTAGTAGTACCCATCTCCAGGTAGATGGTGAGAAGAAACAGCTGACTAATAAACTTTGACAGAGCTAGTGCTCCACAAAGTAGCAGGATAGCTGACATGAAGGATTCTGAGGCAACCGTCCAATAAAATCGTTAGTGAATATAATCCATCCGCTCAGGAGAGTATAAATATCCATGTGAATACTGCAAACTGGGTATAAGAAAGTTCTATATATTAGTGAGGGGAGCTATCCTTCACAGCCACCTGTGCTGTGAAGTGGAGCACGCTCAGTTTCAGATGACACTACTTTCCAGAGTGCTGAATTTAGGAACAGAAGCCATTATAGGCTCTTGACCCCTAAGGAAATTTCACCTACCCCTTTGCTCTGAAAAATGCGAACATAGTGTTTGAGGGTAACAATGAAAAAGAGTGGATTGTTGAGACTGAGGGAAAGTGTCTCTAGAAATCTTGAGACAGATGGGAAATTCCAGAGGACTGTCAGATTAAGGAAGGTTTCCTTCCTCCTGTACACATAAGCAGATTTCTAGCACTTGGAGTTGTACTCTCATGATTTCATTAAGGCACAAAGAGCACGTGCAAAGGTTCTATAATACCCAGAGACGAAAGCCCTGCAGGTGCTCAAGCAGTGCCAGATTCACAAAGCCATGAGGAGCTTACTTCTAAGTCTGGTTGTAAGGTGGTCTGAAGTTAGATTTTGGTCATGCTAGAAAAAACAACTAATAATTCAAAACAGAAATGAATATTAACATTTAACCAATAATTGAAAAAGATGCATAAAGATGGCAAACGGCCTGAGAACCTTTTGTCATCTTAGCTTCCCTAAAAGGAGAATGGAAGACAGAAAATGAGAAAAAAAACAATAAGAAAAATGAGAAAAAAAAACAATAAGAAAAATGAGAATTAGAGAGGTTCCAGAAAATTATTTTAGTAATGCAGGGAAAATGAGTAATTTGCACCCAATTTAACCAATCAGTGGAGAGAAACCACAGATTACATGGCATACCTTTCTACTTTAGGGATGGATGACATATGTGAGAAAAGTCTAAACCAGAATATTCCTGGTTAGAATTTTTCAGAGCACTTACGATACAAACACCCACAAAGGGAATTAGGCATAAGCAAGTGATTGTAGAAAAACTGCAAACAATCAAAAGAATGCCCATCACCAGTGCTGCACTAAAGCTCAACATGGCAAGGATTATTCTAATGTAGAATAGGATGCTTACGGTAGATGTGAAACAGCCTGACCATCACAGCTGACATGTAGATGTTTAATTAGACATCTCTCTTTTATGCCAAAACACAACTTTACTCAGTCCACTACATTGTGGATGCTCTCTTGGCCCAAGTTTAAAAAGTCCTCTTTTAGTAAATAATTTGTAAAATGTATTTGAATATTAAACACTGAGTGTATAGTTGAATGGTTTACCACAGTCCACACAAAGATGCATTCAATTAAATGTTTTCATATTTTAAGAGCTGAAAAATGCTGGGATTATTTTCTGATTAGAGGAAGGTTTCACTTTTATACGTATAATGGTTTCAGTGGCCTTTCAAATGTAATGGAAACAAAAAGCTCTTGGTAAAAGCAGACGCTATTTTCACCGTGGTTTTGTGAAGCAATTGCTTCCAGTCGGTGAATGTGTTTATTGAAAGACTGAGAGAAATGCCCCATTATATCTGCACAACTGTAACCTAAAGTCCAACTCCTAATGTAAAATGAAAGTTCCATAATCACCTATATAAGTTTAGAAAAATATTATTTCTTGGAAAACCAAGAAGACTCCTCAGCAAATCACATTTTCTTTGGCTCAAATTAATTGGCTGATTTTGCTGGGCTACTTAATAACAATACTTGCAAGTTTCTCCCTGCACTGCTCTGTTTTCACAGTAAGTATAAAAGCACAGAGACCTCCCTCCATTTTGAAATTTGAATCACTGAATATTCTTGACAATGTAATCTCACCTCAAGCCTTGCTGAAAATTCCCCACCATGTAGTAACAGCTGCTGAGAAAGGCAGAATTGCATGCAACAAATTATTGGGTTAAGGAGTATATGAAGGGGAAAAAAAAAAACCCAAGAAAAAAAAAAAAAGAATTCCCCCTATGGTTCTCAAATATCCTCTTCTATTTGCTTACTTTACCTGCTGTCTTCCCTGTAGGTCCGTAATAGCTCAGGGACAGCTGGATTCCATTTTCCAAGGTGGCTGAAAAAGATCCAAACTTGCTCACAGCTTTCTTTTGATTTTTCGAATTTCCTTTAAAAAAAATTTGAATGCATTTTAAAGATAGCAACGCATACCAGAACCACCCGACCTGCAAACCAATGACTGGTGTGAACAGTGGCACCTTAATGTGGACGACTAACCTGTAAAATAGATTAATATAGAACAGGGAAAACTTTATCATTCCACACATAGGGTAGTATATAACAGTCAGTTTTGTGTAATATAGCTTTGATTTTTCATCTAGAAAGTGCATTCTAATTAAATTAAAATTCTTTAAGGAATGGTGACTCTTTTCATTTATTTCCTTGCTTTGGAAAAGAGACTGGTTTGCATCTGTTGACCTGTACTGTGCTTCTACATCTCGGTAAGATCTTTCTACACAGTGCTTAAGTCAGCCAGCTGGATTTTTACTTCTATTTACAGAACACTGATCTTATGTACCCTCTGCCATTCGTAGGAATTTATTTTATGTTAGCTGATAAGGTTTGCATCCAATTACTAAATATCTCAAACTATTAATTCTTTATATAAACGATGTCAATCCACTAACCTGAACTAATTTTCTGTTCTTCATCAATTTCTTGCACTTCCATTTCTTTTACATTTTTCTTGGGGTCTGTGATATGAATGAAGAAATTGTGGTTGTCTTTTATCACTTTCACCTTTACCAAAGTTAGGTCTGCAAAGCAACAGGATACTATTACTGCTCCCACCAGGCTTCAGAACTGCCCCGTGCCAAAAAAACCCCAAAACAAACCACCCTGCACCTAACAACTATAAAGCACACAAAAAAGAAAATTGCTCAGAAGTGGACTGAATTGCTTAGCAGTAGACCAAGACGACAAAATCAAGGTTACCTGAGTTTAGACTAAATATTCAAAAACTTCCTGACCATTAGATCTGAGAGGCTGCAGAATAACCCCGTTGCTTAGATATATTGAATTTGACTGGACAAATTATTGGAACATGCAGTCTTGGAATACCACACATTGGTTGCCATTGAACAGATAAATATGAACTAATTTTTCTCCATTTCTAATTTTCTGGTACTTTATTTATCAATTATTAGCATACTCCAGGAAAACGTAAACATTAGTAGCGATAGAGGCTAATATGGAATTACATAGTACTCTCAATATCTTTAACTGAATTTCTACCACTGAGACACGAAAAAGCATTTATGGACCAAGAAACTATGCCATCAGTTAGTAACTGAGTCAAAGCAACGCATAAAGAATTAAAGAATCACCTTTTACAAACTCTATCTTCTCTACTTGAATCTGTCCTCCATCAGATGGGAAAAGATACTGATTGGTTCCTGATACTTGAATGAGATCCTCCCCTGTATTGTAGCCAAGAAACTGGAAAAACACATTTTAGATTATGCGTAAGTGTTAAGGCAGAAGCCATGAAAGGGCAAATAAAGGACATCAGCAGGATCCCACTGTTCTGGTCAACATTTTTGCTTAGATATTTAACTAATGTAATAATGACTTTAGCAAATACATAGCATGTTATTCTCGTATCCAAATAATTTCTCAGTTACTAATTGCAGTAACTTGTTACACATGAGAGCAGAATCTGGTCCTTCAGTGGTATGGAGCCATCATGGAAACTGAAGAGTAGCAAGTAGACTGGTAGCCTAACATACATTTGGAAGGTAAGAAAAATTCTGGCCAAGTACAAAACGACAAGGTACAATGCCATGGGATCAGATAAAGGGCAGATAAAGATTCAGCTTTCCACCCTCTAGGTTTTGGAATTTGGACACTGTAAATCTGATTCTTAGATTGCTGTGCCTTCCAAAGAGCCACAAATTGGCAAAAACGAGGTGAGTGTACTCAAGTAAGTTCAGACTGAAATGTTATATCTCTCTGAATCTGAAGTCTGTATTCAAGCACGTTTAGACTAAAATATATTGACCTACACAAGTTTTGAATGGAAGGCTTAGACTCCACAAATATGAAGTGGTGCAAACTGCCTAAAAACCATTTGAACACAACTAGTGAAGAGTTCCCTCTGTAAGAAATATTCCTCTGTTAATATATCAGGCAGAATAGCTTGTATTAGGGCACTCCAAGAGCATGAATTTTGAAACAGGAAATGGAAGAAATGGTGAACTCCGTTTACTTGATTTCCAATGTGGACAGCCAAGACTTCAACTAGGTCTAGTAGTCCCTGCATATGGAAGCTGGAACAGGTCTTTATGTTCCCCTTCCCTACTCTCTCCCATGAAAATCACATTTTCAGGAAAAATTCATCTCATAAATATATTTTCCACGGGCACAAAACCATGATCAACTTATCTTTGTGTTCATGTCACATACACTAAAAACCATCCAAGTTAATTAAATAGTTGTGTGTAGAATAATCTTAAACATCAGAAACTGCTTTCCAAAACTTTTAGGAAAGGATCTGCTGCTAAAATGATGGAGTTAAACAAGACCTACTTAGGCTTAATTTGCCCTGAACTCCAATTTCACAACAGATAATAGCTTTACTGTGATCTCAACTCTCTCTCTCTATAGGTAGCACTTCCCTAACATGGTGTAGTAATACACCTCCTTACCTTATAAACTTTCTCAGAATGTGGTTCTGGGATGCTAGGATCCTCATGAAGTTCAGGAGCTTTTGCTGGCTCATCTTCAAACTTCTCCTTGGAAGATTTCTTATTGGAACCTTTACTTTCTTCACGTATTAGCTCCTGTCCTTTCTTTTGGGATCCTCCCAAATTTTCTTTTTTTCCATTTTTTACTTCCTTAAATTGTTCTTCCTCTAGTAATCGGTCCTGCTCCGCCTTCCAAGCCTACATTAAATGTTAGGAATTCAAATGACTGGTTCTCTTTGCGTTACAAGATATTTCATATGTGCACGCTGAAAAGACTATAAGTAAACAAACTCAAAGGAACAATATTCTAAGTCACTCACATGTTTTCCAAACACGTCTACAGTTTTACAATATTACGCACTGTATTTTGCATAAAATTACTGACTCATTCAATCCACAGGATCAGTCATTTTTGACCACAGGAGACGTACCAGATGATTACTTGTATCTTACACATTCAGTCATAAAAGAATTATTTTGTTGTGCACTTTTCTGCAACGCTTATCACCAAATCAGAATGCATCACTGGTATTAGTTTATTCCCAAAAATGCAACTGTGAGATAAAATTATTTTATTGTTTTACAGAAAGAGGAATGAGGTATCAATGCCAGAATTATCAACTTATATGAGGAAGACAACAAGAAACGTCCAAGATTCTCCAGAGTATTTAGGGCTTTGTAGCATTTTATATTCTAAGCATATCAAAGCACAAGCATTTCTGTGGAAGAAACGGGAAGTATTCACAATTACAAGTTAGGCATCAGCTGTACTTGAGCTGTGCCAGCTCAAGTTGAGTACCTGGGAACTGGTTAGCGCCATTTCATAGCTACATTGCAATATCGGTACTTAATGTACAGAGCATTACGCGCTGTAAGAAAGATGAGACGTACTATGGCTGTAAGGAGTCAAAAAAAAAAAAAAAGCAGGGGAGTACAACATCAATTAAGCTAGATTTGTACAGAGTAATGGACAGTACCAGTGCTAAGACTTAAAAAATGTGTGCTTAACTCCTACCTCAGCCAGAAACTTACTGTGTGAACCTAGGCAAGTCAATTCATCTATAGTGCATGACCATGGTCTACGTCTGTAAAATAGGATCCTCTGACATAAGGCAACTCTGAGGTACCATTACATTCCTCAACTTCAAAGAGATGTACATAGTGAAAGCAGGAGTTGGGTACATAAGCACTTCCATGAATCTGGATCTTATGTTTTCATAGCTTTATAACCAGAAACCTTCAATGAGAAGTAGGATATTATCCATAACTCTCATTACCTAGTTCTGCAATTATAAATTGCTTTTGGAATGTCTAGTCTAACTCCAGTCTTCCCTTAAGCAAATAACATAACTGAATCAATTAGGAATAAATTAAAGAAAACAAGAAATAAAGTATACAAGAAACAGTCAAGAACAGAAAAACTAAGAGGACTGAGTCAAATCTACATAAGAATGAAGGCTTATCTTCCTGGGAAAGCAGTGTTATTTAGTCCATTTCAGAAACATACATATTTTTGCCTCACCTTTAGAGAGCCTTCTCTGATAAAGGGACTTTTTTCATTGTCGCATTGAGACTCTGGAATAGTCTCTGTTATGCTCTCAGGTTCTGACGTGCTGCCTTTGAGAAATGAAAGGGGAATAAATGAGGTTATAAATATATGAAAATGGAGTAATTTTTAAAAAATGGGAAAATAAAAATAAAAAGAAGTGCAAGTAAATAAAAAAATATGTATTTGTAAAAGTATAAAAGTAGAAAAAATGTTAAATATTTTTAGAGATAAAAATAGAAAGACTGTTCAGGTTAGAAGAAACTTATCTGACAACTAGTATTACTTGACAGTCATAACTGGGGACCACATATGCTAAACAATATATCAACATATTTAAAGACTCAATCTCTGCTTCTTGCTATTGAAGGCCTTGCTCCTGCAACAAGACTTTTTTTTTTAATGCAGATTAAGCAATACTGAATAAACAATAAGCAGTATTTGTTATTTTTGCTACTACCACTGTTCCAGAATTCAGATCCAGTGCTTTAATCAGCTCACCAAATGCCAGAACAAGCTCAATACCAGAATGATAGATATTACAACCTTTCCAGTCAAAAAAAGTGAATAAATGCTGTCATGAACCTTCAAACTTTCACTAAAGAAACACTTACCATATGCCCTGTTTACTATTAGGACTTTACAGCCTCTACCACTCATGAAAAGAGTATTTCTCTAGGTGTGTGGTTTTATATCATGCTTGGACACCCAATATTTACCCCGCTAGAAAAGATAAATTAAACTACACTATCCAAAACTTCTACTTAAATTACTTTGCATTAAACAGTAAAAATTACAGTGTGGGTTACAGCACTGCCAGCGAAATTGAAATCACCTAAATACACTGTTGCCCATCTGCACGTCCCAGGCTAGAGGTAATTATCTTCTTTCAGCAAGCGAACTTCTCTACAATTCATATCTGTCATGAGGGACCAGATAGGGCAAGACTCAGTCTAGCTCCTGTGACAGCTAGATAGGCACAAGTTAAGATTTAGAAGTCATAACTGTCCTTTCATGTTCCAAACTACAATCAGACGTGTTAATTGGGCTGAGGAATAACATTCCTATTTTTGTAAATGCTAATTACTAGTACTAGAAGGTTTCAAAGTGCATGCTCAAAGAAGGTGAACAAAGCAAAGGCTAAATATCAACAAATCATTGTTAATACCATTTAAATACATAAATAGAAAATTTGGACAAAAGTTCTCTTTTGTCAAAATGGGTTTCCAGATTTTGCTGTCTGCTCAACAGTTACTGCTTACAATTTTCACCATCCAAAATGTTGCTTGTGATTAAAGTTTGCTCTGCAGTCTAGTCAACTCCGGATTCCAATTTTAGCTTCTAGCCCACCGCTTCTGACTTCCAGCTTTTATCCTGCCCTTTTAAAAAGGAATTTTCCTGAACCATATTGCCAACTTTAACTACTGCTCATCTCTTCATATGTTCAGTCATCTAAACAGAGATGCATATTTGTATGCAATCCTTAAAGTAATTCCATTAAATAAACATGGCTATTGTAAACGTAAATTGACATTAAAGGTCTTGGTTTTCAGAACAGAGGATGATGCAGAATATTTAAGCATATATATTTAATTCATTTCAAAACATATTTAGGTCTATACAGATGACAAAACAAGGCTACCCTATGAAAAAATACATGCGATTCTGCTCTGGACAACTTTTGGTCTCAGCACTCAACATGAAAAATGAATTTTCTAGGATAAAACAAAAAGATGCCTACTTTTAGCTTTCTTAGGGAAAGCAGTTTTTTTGACAGCACATGCAGACAACTCAAAAGGTCTTTCTGCTATGGCATTTTCCAGTTTAAGAGACTCTATTTCCTTACCCGTTTTCTCTTCTTGGTATTTGACTTCTTCCTCTTTCACCCAGTCTTCAATTGAGTTGGCCACCAGCTCAAGATAGTTCCTGAAAAGTACAACATTCCTCTATTTACCATAATACAGTTTTCACTAATATGATTTCAGGTCAAACAAGATCACTTGGCTTCTCAGTTTCTTATACAAATATTATTCTATAACCTTTGAGAGAATGCTTGCGTTTGACAGAGTTTTGCTCGGTTTTTACAGGAGCTGATACTTTTGCCTGGCTGCTATTTGCTCAATATATCTTACTGTTTTACCACCAGGATAACTTATTTTCTTAGTTGCTCTTGATTTATATTGTCTTTTAGAATACGCTTCATTTGTTTGTTCAGCAGCTGAGGAGGTGTTATTCTATTTAATTTCTAGCTCTTCTTTATCAGTGTGACAAGCAAGGTGCTTGGAAATTGCCATCCAAATCCAGATTAGAGAATCAGCGCACAGTAGCCTAGCATAAATTAAGAATATTCACAACTAGCAGTTGAAGCGAACCCCGAATGACAAACTGATCCAGAGTTTGCAGCTGGTATCGGTAGTTGCATTGTCTCATCTTCCAAAGGTGCCTGAAATGACTGCCAAAATAGTTCATTGTGAACAACTGCTTCCAAGGTAGGATGAAGCCTGGAAGTCTTATACGCAGTTACCACTCAACCCCTTGTTTGGAGCGTTACCCTAATTCTTTACAGTTCTTCACATGTGCAAAACTAAAGGGGGCTTTTAAAGAACACGCAAGATTCACTTGTAGCATCTTCACAATGTTTTGCATTTATAAGTTCAAGATGATTCAATTGTACTCAAAAGCTCCGTATGCATTACAGTTTTTGTTTGTGAACACGTAGGCGGCACAACCAATTCTTGACCTTGTGACAGTTTTAAAGTTCTTATTGCAGCATTACATTGTATATCCGAGAGAATTAGGCTATCTACACAGACTAGAGATGTATACGCTTCATGTACAGGTTAAAGATACACAAGTCTCTCCCAGCTCCTGCAATGTGCGTGGAGCCTGCTTTGGGAAACTTGCATGGAGAAACTGTTGATCATATACTCAGTAGGAACAAGGTGACTCTGGTTGTATCTGAAGAAAAGCGCACAAGCTATAAAAACAAAGGTGTTGAAAACAAAAGGCAAAGCTAGGCTGGAACCTAGAGTTGCCAGTACTGGAATAACTTGAAGATGAATATATGTTATAAATAAAAAAGAGATTATTCGCATGGAAAATATTTTAGGGCAATGAAACAGTCATTCAAAGTCAAAAATACACATTCTATTAATATGTATTCTGATGTCACTACTGCCAATGTCTGACTCAGAATCATTTCTCAGAAAGGATTATTCTTTTCCAGTAACTTGTGTAATGTGTTTACTATGAAACAGTAAACAAATGTCATTAAGATTAACTTTGAGCAAAAGAATAGTTTTCATGATGTCTGAATTCATTTGGCTTCCTGTTAGAGTGGTCACTTATCCTAACCAGAGTCGAAATGTTTTATACACACATATCACTGCAGGTACGCGTGTATCCCCTTAGTCAGTAGCATCCATTGGATTCATGGGCAGCCTCCTGCTGCCTACCCTTTGAACAGCACAATTCCTGAATTTTCGGACGTTCTACATGAACTATGGGACCTGACTAGGATCTCCAGAGGCAAAAGTTGCTGCAACATGAGAGATTTCATTTCCCCCTTGCATGAGAATTCGCTGTACCAGGACCCACTGTAACCAACTGATCAGCAGGTAAGAGAAGTATATTCCAGACAGCAAATACGGAACAACCCTACAAAGTGGGTCTGTGGTCTGTAAGATGTCACAATAAAGAAGTAACAAGTAAACACAGGTAGAGAACTAACAGAGAGATAGTCAAGCACAGCATCTGTTGTGTATTTGTAACTGTGGTGAAAGTGTGACTCTTAAATATATCCCCCAAATTAGAATGATAGTAATTTTAATGAAAGGAAAATCAATAAATTGTTACTAAACTCATCAGGAGGCAGTTATTTCATACAAAGGTAAAAACCAGTAATAACACTGCTTAATTAATAAGTAGGGTTTAGTGCCCGTTTCTGGCAACTCGGCAGGATCTGGAAGCTGCTGCAGGCAACAGCTTGAAGCACTCCAGGTATTTAAAGACCGTCTTCCAGAGGAGTGTTATGTTGCTTGGAAACATACACTAGCAAGTATTTATGATGCTTTGTCTGGAAATCTGAAATGATCTTTAGCAAAAAGGTTGAATAAGGTCAGAAGTCGTGCTGATTATTTTGCAGAGAAAAAGCAAGTATATTTGCCACATAACAGATCCAAGTGAGAGCCCATAGCTCTTCAAAGATATTAAAGAGCATACCTAGCAGTGACATAGAAATATTCAATGAAACAACAGCAAAGTCAAACCTTCTTGTTAGCTTTCATGCCAGTTTCTTTAGGAACTCCTTGCTGCTTTGAAACAGAAGCCGAAGAAGCATCAATGAAAAAAGATGGCATGCCCCAAGCAGAAGCTATCTTCAGTGCCTAAGCCTTGTTTCCAGTGTATATGGAAGAGTAAGACGGAGGAAGCATAGAGCTATTCCATCCTCAACTGAATTATAATGCATCTACCAGAAAACATGCTTCATTCCTCCTTTGGATGCAAAATTAGCAACTTTTCTTTTGCAGGTATCAAGAGCTCTTCCCATTTTTCAGCTGGCCTTGAATTGACTATTTCAATGCCCTTTCAAGGCGACCAGCCAAATTGTTCTAGGACCCCAGAGATGAAGAGTTGTTGTTTCAAGGATAAATGCTTCCTGAGGAGGTCTGGTTCCTCACTATCTGCTCCTACAGACAACACAACAATATGCCATTGGGATGAGGTGTTACTCAGTGTACGTCAACACCAAGTGACACGTTAGATGTACAGGGTACGTGACCTGGTCTCCAGTGTCTGTTCCAAAAGAGTAGGGGTCTCCTATGGGTCTCATGTCATATGTGTCAGACCTGTGCAGACATCTCAGAAACACCAAGCAGCTAAGCTAGCACCAGGTGTTTATGTTTAAGCAACTTGAATCAGGCCTTTAATGTCCAGTGCCCCAAAGAAGATTAAGAATAGCTGGCAAAGTAAACAGCTCCGGGTTCCAATATACTTCTGTGTAACAGACTTCGAGATCACTGATCCTCTGCCTGAGTCTATCTTGAATGCAAGACCCAGGTTTACCTGAACACACCATCTTTCACTATCTTTTGGGGAAGATTTCAGCTGTTATATACATGCAAAAAAAATTGATTGACCAGACATTTAGTGGATTTGCCCAACAACCACAAAACAGCCAGCATTTTCTCCAAGAAACTTTGTGTTTCTGCTGGTAAATCTCTTCTGGCTCTGGTCCAGTCACTGCTAATCACAACAGCCTCTTTTCATGGAAAAGAATTTAAGTCCAAGTGCCTGGAGAGCTGAGATAGACTCACACAGAGTTCCCTGACTGAGAGCAAAGATACAATACAAAATAGGTCTTCAGGAAGGCATACATTGCCTATTTAGCATTCAAACCTGCTCAAATATATAGGTACCAACAACAGTTGCTACCAAAAGATTCCCATATTCTGATAAATGAGGCACCGCACTTAGAAAGGGATGCCTGCAGACAAGTTGGTTGCTGCCCATTGGATAATTTGCTTGGAATTCTATTTGATAAATCAAATCTAATTAATCCATAAAGCACCAGAGCGACATGGTTAAAGACAGCTCAGCTGTCTCTCCATGGCATTGTAGCTTCTTTACATATCAGTACATGGACACATATTCTATTTTTGGTCAATTATTTGGAATAGTAGTTGGACCCACATCATTTATATAGCTGTTTCAGTGCAAAAATGTATTCCAAAATGAACAGGTCCACAGACAAAAGCTATAATAGTGGACACATCAGCTACTTGCATACCTCTAACTTGTAAGCTGATAGTGGCAAGGAATTAAGAAGAACGTGGTATTCTGTTAAAAAATTATTCTAATATTAATAAATGGCTTCTAGCTTTTCTTGAAAAATTTTCCCAGTGACGCTTGCCTAATTTATGTACACATAGTTGAAAAACCTGACAATTATATTCTTGGACAGAATTTTCTTTTTAACCTCCCTCACCTGAAGTATCCTCAATGTAGTTTTCTTGATATGGATATCCCTAATATGACTTTGCGTGTATGTGTGCATTATATGTATTTTTATAGTTTGTGATAAGGAATCACATAACAGTTACCGCACAGTTCTCCTCACTCAGAAACGCTTTGTCTCAATTCAATTCTTTTGATATAGCACTGTTTTCCACCTGCGTGACTTGCTTTCTCATAAATGTGTTACATCATAGTATCTCTTAATTTCAAAGCTTTGCCCCAAGCATAGCCATGCAAGCTTTAATTGAAAACGACTGTGAACAAGACATGAAAGATAAAATCAATTACCTGAATCCAACATTAGAGTGCAATGCAACATCCCAAGTCTCTTGGCACAAACGATACTGATTCATAGGATTGTGAAGAACCATTAGCAAAGAGTTATCTTGGGTACGATAAAAGGAATCAATGCATCTGTATTCTTGGGACGCAGTATGAAGAACCTGAAAAAGAAAGGAAGGAAGGTACCTCCTCTCTGCAGACAACAGCATACGTACAGATGCTACACAGCACGGCTTTTAGCAAAAGGTGCTTCAGAACTTCACTTTCCTACAAGATGTACGCAAAGCATTTAGAGTCCAGCAATCTGAAGTGTTCAGGCAGGCGGAAATTGCAACTCCACCGCTATTCATATTGAGAAGGGGCAGTCACTATGCTCCACCTTCTGAGACTGACCATGAATGAAAAAGTTCAGCTATATAATAAACAAATTTAATATTTAAATACTTAAATTTCAAGTATTTAAATAATTAACTAGTAAATAAAAGCAGAACCATCATACACCATGTAAAAAGAAAACAAATTTACTTTTTTTTTAGCTCAAGTTTACTTGATATTCAATTTGCTATACTATGACCTGTACATCTCTGAGATTTACTGTGTTCTACATTATTCTACTCTGTTCTGTATTGCCCCATCATTTTCAATGTTTACATTGCCTGCAGCCTGAAACTTATTTTATAGTTATAGCTAGAAGAAAGCCTTCTTTGAAACTATTATTTTACCTCAGTTGCATAGTTCTGTAAAAACTGAAATAACCCCCGATCAAAAAATATTCGCTTTAAACATGAAAACCTTAGTATCAGCTGGTATAAAAATTACGTGCAGATGTGACATGTAGTGTGAAGAAATATGGAAGTATTCTTACAAAATGTTATTTTCTGTTGCAGTTATTTTTCATCAGCACCTTTTGATTAGATTCATTAATTATTGACAGTTGAGTTAGTACTCGCTATTTATGTTGCATAAGAAGGAATTCCCCAGGTACTGAAACGTATGACCAGACTTTAAAGTTGTGATGCTAAAGTGGTGCTGAAAAAGTCCAAGCAGCCTTTCCTTCACCCACGTATAGCATGTGTCGGGGATCAAATAAGAATTGCAGCATATGAAGCTCAAGGCAGCACAGGAACTAATAATCCACTCCTCCCAAGAGGATGCCTACCCACTTAAGCCATCTACACTTCAACTTATCTTTCACATTTGTCGTTCTGTCTTTCTGCAAGATGAGTTTTAGTCTTTAGCTTGCAAGGTTTCTATAAATGAAGCTTGTAGCCCTGAGAAGGTGAAGTACCATTGCAACAAAATTTTCTATTTGCCCATAAAGCATATACTGCATAGGTATTTGAAAAGTATGCTTTCACATACATTGCACTAATGAGTCCCGTAACTGCCAGGGAAGATCACCCCTAAGGGCAAGATCATTTTGTCTCCATCACACGTTTAGGTAAAAGACTCACTACCAAAAAGGACGGCTGCAGTTTGGCCAAACCAGGAAATAAAAACCCATTACAAACTAAATTTCACACAAGAAACTGAAAAGCAGCTAAAGAGCAATGTAAAAGGGATAAAACTGAATCAATTATCTAGCAAGGAAATACCCTGTACTGTGCTACTAATTTGTTGTACAGAAACAGGGGGGTGACTGTATGTACAAGATTGTCAGTGCACAGATACCTGAAGAAGAACATGGGGTTGAAAATGCTCAGTGAAACTCCAGTCTGTCAAACAACGCCTCTGTGTCTTTTTTATTTCTTCTAAGTTTGGTCCTAGACCATAATTTTCCAGACTCGCCTCAAAATACACCAAAACAAAATAATGAATATCAACATTTCAGTGTCAGTTGTATTAAATTAACTGTAATCTTGTTGACTTAACAGACAGCATCCCATGTTGCATCAGTTAATTGCGTAATGCTGCACATGTGTAGACCCGTATGGCACTATTTAATAAAAAACACAATTACTCCCAAAGGTTTTTGGTCTTGGCTTTCTTATGGCAAACATAATCTAAATATTTTTATTATTAGGTTATATGTTTTTGAGTTCTGTAAGCAATTATGAATATTTAAACATGTCCTATGAAGTAATTTTAAAATTGCTATATTTATCCAGGGCTGTATGGCAGGCAGGTGTTTCTGAAGATGCCAAACTACACAGTCTATTAACGTGACACAATTTGGCAACTTCTCTTAATCTCTCATGCTAGTATTTGACCCCTGGTATTCAGTGAAACCAGCACAGAATTGTCATTAGTAGCTTCACCAAGACCCGTCACCTTAAAACTCAAAGAAAGTCATTTCATAGCGCTTATGGCAGTATTCACCAAACATCACAAAATTAATATTTGCACGTAGCATTGCAAAGGAGTCCCCAGTAACGTGTCCTGGCACTGAACAGTATCTTCTGTTGTCTCACGCTATAGAGCAGTTTATTCCATTCCTCACACTTGCCATATCAGAAATAAAAAGGTCCAATTCTTTGTTCAAAACAGGATCAGCCAGACCATCTCTTCCATCTTTGCCATTTGTTTCTGTATGTCCTGGAAATTGAAAGCAGAATTTTAAGAAGCGTTCCAGAAGTTTCAGCCCTAAACACTAAGGTTGGAGTGATGCAATTTCCTTAGCCTCCCTGATGGGATTGCCATCAAGTTGAAGCTTTCTTTTACGACACTAGTCCAATAAATACATGACCAACTCTGCCACACTTCTTTCCTAAAAGAGCACTTCAAAATCCAGGGACAAGGAGTGCCAGACAGCTCATTAGAAAAAAAAAAAAAAAAAAAAATGCTGGCCCTGCCAGTCAAAAAGATTAAAATACTCTAAGAAGTGTCCTCAAGACTCATACATGAAGAACCATTTCTCTGCTTACTATACAAGAGAATCAATAACAAGCATTCCTTTGCACAGGTGACATAAAAAAGGCGGCAAAATAAGTTATGTTGATATCTTCATGTTTTTGAAAAACGCAACATTTTAAACTTGAAATTAATTGGATTTATGGAGTTCTACAAGCTACTGACAGAATATGACTTCTGCCAAGGATCTGACCAGTCATTCCTGACAAACTATCGTTGTTACAATGGCCACCTGATATGAATAGGATGACATCGACACTAACTTCTATGCTCTCATAATTTTTTTAAATAATTTCCTTTTAATAGTATTATTTATGCCCAGAGTTAGGGCAGAGGTCGCTAACATTTGATCAAAATTCACACATACAAGAAAAATACTCTTCCTGGGAGAAAATACGCTGGAGAGTATTTGTTCGTAAGTGGCTCATAAACAGCTCAGCCTCCAGGCATGTATCTGGCTCTGCTTCTCTAGGAAATCAGACCTGTTTACTGACTGCCTCTAGAAGATTTAAGAAATCTGAAAGCAAAAGTTTTCTCTTCCTGGTATTTGCTTTAGCGTTGCAGAAGTGATGAAATGTTAGAGGCTACGTTTGTAACTGCAATATTTAGTATTGTGACTAGCATAAAAGTAAAACTAACACCCAAAAAGCATTCCCAAAATTCGGAAGAGGCAGATAAGCAGGATTCATTTGGCCTGCTCCAACCTTCTAAGCAAAGGATCCCATCTAAGCTGGTTGCCTAGGCATCTATATTAGGAAAGCATGGGCAACATCACAAATCTAAAGGTATAGCAGCTTAAACTGACCTAATTTCTATTTTTCTCACATCCCAGAAAAATAATGTCTTGTTTTTAATGTTGCTTCTTGGCCAGAACTGCTCCAACACTGCTTCAGGCCAACAGCTTTTCATTATGTTACAATCTGCAGAAGGAGAATATGTAGAACTTGCAGAAAATTCACTCCGCATTGTCTACAAGAGATCTCCATCGCTGATCCTTCTATCCAAAATGTTCCCATTCTAATATGAATGAGATAGTTATAATGGTTCAAATGTCACACAGTAACTTGCTAAAGATCTACTAATTGCACAGACTGCAAATGAAGAAAAAAATTTATAGGAAAAAGCATGTGTGCTTGTATAATTACAACATACGGCACATCTTTTTTTAATTTTCAACTTTTTATATCACCTTCTAGAGTCCTCATGTGTGTTATATATCCTTTCCACTTCCTAATACTCATTCACTAGTACTCATCTAATTAACCTTATACATCACTTTTGATTTCACTCGGTGGTTCCTACAGAGTTTGTAGACTCGGCTGCCATCATAACTCACAAAAGCCTGTATTCAGAAAGGTGTTGGAGCACGTCTTCAGTATTTTGTCTCTAAAATATATTTGATGTCATAAGCAATAAAACAGTTTTCTAGTACACACTTTTCTACAGATGTCATTTTAAAGAGTTGCTTAAATAAACCATTAATGTCATACAAAAGAGCTAACTTTTGTCTTTATCTAGTAATCCTACACATATACTCAATGTACAGACTATATAAGACTTGAAATTCAGTGATTTGTACAAGTAAGAAAAAAAAAAATCACAACCCTGAAATAGCAAAGGATATGGTAAAATAAATAGTGGATTTAAATTCTTCAGGAGTAATGTAAACAGAGAATTTTTTACCAGAGCCTCTTGGAGATTTCCCACTAAACTTCTTTTCCATAAGGAATAGTCGTCTCAGCTGTCTTGCAAACCGGGCTGGATTATCCCAAGGGATATAAGACACTGCAGAATCACCTCCAACCATAGATCCAGAGCTCTCCAGGAGACCAGAGTCACTCAGCCCAGTCAGCCTCAGGCTCTCAAAAGTAAACACTCTGAAGGCTCTTTCTACTTCAGCCGAACTCAGAGGTTCTAGAAAAGAATTACAATCATTAACTGAAAGTGTCCTTATGGCTCAGCAGAAGATAAATAGAAGACTATGTAAGTGTATTGTTCTTGGCAACTCCGCAAAAGCCAACAACAATTTCCTTAATGGTATTGGATCAAATTATGTGAGCTACATTTTACACTGCATTCGAAGTCGAATGCTTCCAAATTGCAAAATGATATGCCTAACTATTAATCCATCTCAAATGAAGCGTTTCCTACATCTGAATACCTCTTGGCTCATTAACTTTATATAAATGATGTTGATTTTAAAATACTGAGTAGACTTTATCAAACCAGTTAACAACTAGGTATTTTCAGTTCATAAAAAAGGCTTCATTATCATAATTTTTTTTATTATCTGTAGCTTCTCAAACCAAGTATCAAATGTTTTTTTCTCTTCAGACAAAATTTTACACATAGTTTATACAGAAGTATGCAAGGTGCAAAGGCAATAATAAATCCTATTTATGGTTGTATGCATTGGTGTCCATATAACAATGATAATCACGAGAAGGACTGAATTTTAAGACAGGTAGTTCAGCGTCCAAATCATACGAAGCGTATCTTCAGTTTGAAATGTTTTCTCTTTATGGTAGTTAAACAGCCAAGCATGTCACACATCTTGAAAATGTTGGATATCTCATCTTCTGTTCGAATCAATCACCTTCTTTATAAAAGCAAAGACATTGCTAAGTTAAGTGCTGGGAGAGTTTGGCAGTATAGTATGGCCCTGTGAAGACCATCAAATTTGATACCCATCAGCTGGAATGCTACAGCAATACAGAATACCTTAATAGCTTAATGTCCCAAATGAACATACCAACAACTAGAAACAATGCAGCAAGTGTAAATTAATCCAACACAAGGGATTTCAGGACTGAATAGCTGGGAAAGTACCTTCAAATCCTGTGCCTTATATGACGGCATAAATGTAACCAAAGGGATTTGGATGTTTATATTTCTTAGTAGTCCAGCGTAAACTTTCAAAACTACCTAAGGGTATTTATGCAGTCTTTGGGATTGTTTCACAGTGTACGTCATGGTGGTATGCACACTCCAAGAAAAGGTAACTGCAGAAGTGATTATGGTTGAAGAAGTGAATGGATTCTTGGTTTGATAAAGGGACTGTTATAAAAGCCATTTCATTATTAACACCAACAGCTTACACAGAATACATTCTGAAAGCCATTTATTGCCCAATAAAAATCTTTGACCTAAGATATATGTGCTCCTCCACCAAAAGGGCATTAGTAAGTAAGTGTACAGATTATGTCAGTGTCTCCCAAAATGCATTCTACGTCCTAGGATCAAAATAGCAATTTGTACAACTATTTATTTTTCTCAGATTTAGTAAGTGGTTTTATGTTTGTGAATATAAATAAATGAGTTCTAACATACTTCCAGCTCTTAGTCATGCAATATTTAATACTCATACAGCCTTGCCCATTAACCATGAAACTGAGGTCTAAAGTTAGCCCTAGCTTGTATAGTAGGCTAAGGTATAAGCAAGAATGTGAAAATGGGAAATTTCTGCAAAGGTTTTAGGCAGCTGAAAAAAAACTTGTCCCAAAATTCCTGTTATTTAATTGGCTCATCAACCAGAAGAAAAAAAAAAAAAAATTGAAGATGCATATCAATGAAAAAGAAAATCAGTTTACCACTGGTACAATAATGCATGAGCTCGTGAACTCTGGCCAAGCGTTTAGTGTTGTTTTCAGCTGAAGGAAAGGCGAAATGGATAAGTTCTGTAAGAGGCAGTTTATCCATCATTTCACGTTCAATCTTTTCTGGATTTAAGTTCTTCTGGACCTGGAACAAAACCCAAAGTACCAGAGTTAAAGTAAACTTTCACATCAGTGGATTTCTAAAAATTATGTTTGAATAAAGAAGTCTTTTTATAGCAAAAGACATAAGCATGTGCTTAAGTTAGCAGGACATAAATTTGAGCATGTGCTGTGCTTGCAGTGTGTTATTGAATCGTGGTGTCAGATATTTTAGGCAGAAAAAATGAAATACATAAGAGAATAACTGACAGCATAATAACAGACACTTGTTAGAAGATATTTTCCTGTGCTAGCTAGACTCAAAAATTCTGGAATACAGAAATATGTACTGATCTATTCAGACAGGCAGAAGGTACCTTCCACATATCTTTCAGCTGGTCTGTGCTACTTCCCACGGTAATGAAGTCTGTAAACTCGTTGACCAGTCTGTGACTGCAGCATCCCTATATATTTAAGGGTTTCTCTTTTGAGACTTATTGGTATCTTTCAGCTTTGCTCTTTTTAGTATTACGCACTTACAGTACCTTTGTCTGGGACGGTATCTTCCAAATCTTTTTCCTGTAACCACTCAAACATTGTGCTATATCCTGAATTTCCTCTGCAGCAAGTACATCATATACATCAAGCATATGCCTGCTAAGAGCACCTCTCTTGGTGATTACTTAGTCCTTCCTTTTGCTTGAGTACCACCAACATGTCAAGCTTGATTTGTTTCTGAGTACTGTTTTAATCAAGGGTTGTCAAAGTATTCCATAGACAATTTGTAATTCATGAAGCCAGGCAGATACACCTTAGCTATGAAATCTAGAACTGTATTATCACTTGTATTGCCTTCAGAGTATTTTCAAAGTTTAATTGTAAAACTACACCCTGGCTTTGGAAAAAATTGAGGAATTCATAGTGTTTTTTTGGTTCAGAACGTCTGGGAACAGTTACTTTGAAATAATCCCAAACCTTGCAGTCTCAAACTTTCTGCCTTTGTTAGAATTTGGCAATGTCCTGGGTATACACTATGCTCCAACTATTTAGCCAACCTGAGCACACTTCTTGTGTTCACTAACAAACTCTGTATCTTTTCTGGTACTCCTCTACATCTAGAATGTATCGAGTCTATGTGTTAAATCACTGTTGTCAAGTTAGTAACTCATTTTCCACAGTTTCATCAGTGTTTGACTACAGTAAATCAACAGAGTTCTGTAATATCTCTTATCTATGCCAAAGGCTAAACATTCTTCCTAATAATGCAAACAGATCACTGAAATCAATATAATGCTTTATGTTTGTGACGCGTTCTCTGTCAGTAGCAGTAACTCATTGCTTCTTAAGCACACTAAACACATCTGTTAGTGCATCTATCTCGGCAGGAAAAATCTAGGCTATACTGTTCTGCTTTGTAAAAACACCACTCCATCCTTTCCAGTGCATTAAGTATTCACTGCCTGTGGACTTTAGAACTGTTTACGTATGACAGGTAGCACTATACCTTCAGCAGGTGCAACCGCTGAGCCAGGGTATCGTGGTAGTTAAATAAGAGTGGGTACTCGGGGGTGACAGCCTTTTCTTCACTATATTTAGGAGAAAAGTAGTCATATAGATTCTGTTAAAAAAGAAAGATGCATTAAACTCCAACAATTAGATTTATTTGTCCTTTTAGGAAATGAACAAAAGACAATACAAACCTTTTTTTCACTCTCAGAAAGTGAAAGAGAAGGAAGGATGGAGGCTATATGATCTGCAATGGTATGATGCAGCCCATCCACCCGGGGCTCTGGCACCACCAGACTAGGTGGTATAAGGTCGTCTTCACTTGCAATAACCTGGCAAACGTGATATACGTTAGCTGTCATTACAGTATGACTGCTGCTTAACTTCATTAAAACTACCAACCAGATCCTACTATAAGCTAAACACATGTCCATAAATTTTGTCAGGAAAGAAAACCATAATTTTTTTCTACAAGAAGTAAAAATGCAATTCTCCACGCTAGTTCCTGCCCCAAACAAAGACTATGGAAACTGGAATTAAATGTTTTCTCCTGTTATTCACTTTTGGAAGTATGAGAAGAAAAATATTTCCAACTTGAAATGTTAAGAATTGCTAATGAACATAGATAATTAAACACTAACTGTGTATCAAGCGTTGGACCTTATTTTGAGTATTTTTGCCTGAATCTGATTTTCAGACTAAATTGCAAAAAGTAAAAAATAAGATTGTGCTGAAATTTTATTTCTAAAAGAAGGAAGATTTCCAAATCATACTGTGGGTCCTTGCTGACTCATAGGCTGTGCCTGAACCCAACAAAAGTCAGATCTGTCTAGCACTAGCATTGATACACGCCACTTCTGCGTTAGGCTTGCCCCAAGACCTTTATACTGAGCAAAACAGTAAAAGTTCAGTATCAATAACATTGCTGCAGGACACAAAAACTCGTTAGTGACTTAGCTAAGAAATTACACCTTTCTCCTCATTTGATTATATTGGATCTGTAGTCTTGGAAAAAAATTTTGGAATAACGCTGTATATACAGGGTAAGTGCACAACATGAAAGAAACCCAAAGAAGTCACTTCTGAGTGGTGATTCCTTTCTATTGAACTTCCTTGGTCAGTGCCTCCATGCACAGTCTCTTATTTTAGGCTGAAACAGATGGATTTATTGATCTTTGATCAATTCATTATACCAGGTCTAAGCCGAATTAGCCACAGGAATTATAAAGAGAATATTCCCACCTGTTCCAACATACAGTTCAGCATTAAGGGTACAGAAAAGTACTCCTCGGGAATCTGACTCAGCAAGTCATTGTAATACCTCATGTCCACAGAAGCAGCCAAAACAGAAGCTTCTTCCTCTGTTGTAATAAGAGATAAAACATTAAGATTGGTAATATAAATGGGCATTTCTGAAGAAATCAACCAGTTCAACCTTCAGACAATTTTTCTTAAAAAAAGACTAACAAAGTCCCTTACTGTAGAGCTCTTAAATCTGACTGTGACGAGGAACAAATAGGAAAAGTGATTCTCTAAAGAACTTAGTTATCACCACTGCAGTTTCCAGAGATTTTCACAATGTATTCACCAAGAAACTACTCTCACAACATCAAATCACATCTTCAGCTTACTGTGCAAATAATTTCAAAGATTTGTGTTGTCGGATGAATGAATAGTACAACAGAGCAAACAGCTACAGACCAGTGCTTGAATCCTTGAGACATACCCTGTGACAAAATTACTGCTGGCAGAATTTCTTCTGCTTGCCCTTTTTTCTTTGAAGGTGTGATCTGTGATGCTGGTTGTACCTAAAGGAACAAAAATAAAAAACCTTGGAACAAATGAGGATTGCACAAATAGGTGGGAGAAATTAACTTCATTTAGCTTTGGTTACTTACCCTAGACTAGATGCTAAACTTTTAAACGGCTGGTGCTAGGGGAGGCAAACCCTACCTAACTGAATGGAACAAGATAGTAAGAATGTAGTTTTATGAATGCTTTAAATGAGCATTCAGTAGTACTGCTACAAATGGAGTAAGCCCATTTTTTCCCTGCCACTGATTTACGTCCTATAAGCCACTTTCTTCTGCCCACTTAAGCTTTTGTCTACTGTGACCAAAATAAAGAAACTGATCTTGGATAGAACTAATAATCTTCTCTGGGTAGTTCACAGATCTGCAACAAGACATAGTAGCTCCACAGAGGCATAGGGATTTTTCCAGACACAAGAAGGTGCCACCTGAAGCTATTTAAGTCATTTTTACACCTGTGGTACTTTATGCCAGCACCTGTGTGATACTTCCAATTTTCCTTTCTTGTTTCCCCAGTGCTCTGCTATTTTTTTTTCTATTTTTTAGGTTTAAAATGCTGATGGCAAAAATCCCAATTTCACTCACAAAAAATTACACATGGAGTGATGGTCCAAAGTGAATTTTTGAGTGCAGAATTAAAGACAGACAATTCTAGCCTATAACTAGTTATTCTCTACAAGAAGCATGGTAAAGCACAAAGGAACCTTGCCTCAGTTACAGGTGGTTGTGTTGATTTGCTCTCCGATAATGCAGGCACATTAACAAACTTGGTGTTTTCCAAGTAGTTACAATGCTGTCTTCTCCAGTCCAGGCAGTCATACATTAAACAAGCAATGCTTTCGAACAGCGCAGTGCCAAATGCAAGCTACGACAGAAAATCAGATACAAAGGATGAAGTTTGCATACAAAACTGTCATGTAACTTAGCCATGAGTCATTAGCTCTCTAACTAGCTGATCTACAACTATTTTAAAATCCTCCAAGGGATTTTTTTCTCTACTAATTCAAAATGTTTTATAGTTACTCTAAGCAAACAAGGTCTCCTCACCTTTATTTCCTTAAACACTGCCACACCACAGTATGGACTGAGTATCACCCAATTGCTTTAGTTGTTATAAAGCCTAGCTTGTCTTAACAGTAACCATTCAAGCTCTCCTCTCTTGCAACTGGAATTTAGGTTATTTTTTTGAATGGGAAGGATCAGGAGAGGTAGCTTAAAATAATTGTTTTATATCATATGTGCATGTTTCTACTGGTGATCAACCTGCAGCGTATTTGCAAGGTCAACTATTCTCCTGCCCTAGAAGAATAAAAAAAATAATAAACCCCACCAACCAACTAATCAATGCCATCTCATATTATTTTCTTTCTTTCTGTTGCCCTTTTAAAACAAAGAAAGCCTCAACTACTGAACTCCGAATTCCATAGTTGTGCAAGCAAAGGAATGTCAGCATACCAGCCCAACGCCCAAAGGGAGAGTGCTGTATCTGCAAAAGTCTGACAAGGAAAGAGTCAAGGTTCTTGAGGTGGTGTACTGTGGCTTTCACCAAGGCTTGGGAGGAATAAAAAGAATAATACCAACCGCTGTTTTAAGTGTGAAATGCCTTTGTATAAATACCAAAGCCCTATCTGAGGCCACATGTCATGCTCCAGTTTCAGTGGCTTTAATGGACATATTCTTCCCCTGTACATCCTAGACATTGTGGAAAAGATGAAATTATTATAATTTTTAGACAATGTCTGTCAACAGCCCTTTTCTGAGTGATTATTTCACTCTTGTGAAAGTAGGGGAAGTCTCTTGTACTAAGAAGTTTGCCTCTAAGAGGTGGTTATCAACTTAGGAAACTTAAAATTGAGAAATGCAAAAATGAAACATGGCAAAGAAGCTATTATTAAGCACTAAATATATTAGCTGATCCTTAAGAAGTATTAAGCATCTGCTTCTTCAACTCAGACCCCCTTTATGGCACCTCAAAATGAGCACCCCAAATCACTGATCGGTTATGGAATACTTGTCTCAGTTTTCATAACATTTGAAGACTAGAGGAGATATTTGGGAGAGAAGTTCTATTTGTGAAAGCAGAATTTTCAGAGTTAATATTCTTGTACCTTTGTTCTTCCAATGGGATACTCTTCTGAAAAATGGGTTAGTATAAAAAACTTTCCATTCATACATTACTTACAAGAGATCACTAGGGCACATGAAAATTTCAGTTCAAGTACTGGAGTGTTTTGAATGCACTATCTTTTAAACAAAACAAGAATTTTTACAAAGTTCCAAGTAACACAACCTGGCTCTGCTCAATGGGACACATGCAAAGTTTAGCCACGTTGTGTGTATAGCCATATTACATGTATAATTACAGTTTTGTGATTCAATTTACTTGCTCTCTCCTCTTCTCAGAAGAGACAGAGATACTTGTCAAAAGTTCTCAGAGTCTAACAACTAGTGACTCTTCAGTAAAAGAAAAAAATTTTTGGTAATATTTTCCTTTCTAAATATTTGAAATATGAAAGTGACAATTACTTGCTATATATAATAATCATTTTTCTATCAATGTCTAACAATTTGTCACAAGAGTTTTCCTTCTGTATGTCTTGGACTTCAGGGATACAGCAAGCTAGGACTTGGAGACTCTCCAGGAAGCCCACTAGAGCAGACTTACTCTATCCACCTATGATTTCACAACTTACATTCTGCCCATCTGTTTCTTTAAAAAACTTACAAATGTTCCTACTTCTTTAGAGCTCTGTTGAATTCTGAGATACAGAAGAATGGGAAATTACAGCTACAATCTGCTGGAACAATTTCAGTGACAGGTCATTTTTCTTTTATTTCAGTTATATAGCTGCTCGCAGGATATTCACGAGTAGCAACGGTCCCCTATAAGATGTGATTATGGGGAAGATAGACAAGATTAAAAAACTTCTTTCCCAAAATAGGCTTCATATTTTAAGATTAGATCTGGTAAGTAATGTTGTAAGTGGCAAGCCTACACATTTCCACAATTGAGGCATTTTTAGTGAATGCCTTGGAAACCACTGTGGATTTAGCCAAACTCAGTTCTGATCCCTTCAGGATCAAGGGTACTTCCTAGCTCACCAGATTGTTTATGTACAGGATTTAATGCACTATAAGTAAGTGTTAGGAGAGTGTAGCCTGTCCGAATACTATAGCCCACAAATACAGTACGTTAAATTATGGCATGTTGCTTTATTTTGCTTTAGCAGTTTATATTTTTTAGTGCTGCCATTGTGGATTGAAAAATACCGGACCCTTTTACCTCACTAGACTTGAGAACCTAGGGTGGAAAAAATTTCTAATGGTTCACTTTCTCTTCCAGTGCCTGGTAATAGTCCTGATTCAGCACGCTATAATGAGTAATAAATAGTCCTGACTCAGCAGACTATAATGAGTAACAAGCCAGAGGCATGTTTTGGGTTGGACAAAAAGAAGTGGTGCTGGGTATGCTAAAACAACATTTTATATCAAAAAGCATTCTTGCATTCATTTTAATTTGTTCTCATGCAATGGTTCTGAGATACAGTAAGTAGACCTGCTGTTATGAGGACAAAAATATAATTTTTGTGTTATTTCATACTGACATCTGACTCTCAAATGAGATCCAAATTGAGTCTGTGTAAAAATGCTGAATAAATTTAATACCTCAAACTGTTTTAAAACTCTGCTGCTGTGGCCTACAATAGTAAGAAACTCCAAGTCTGGTGTTTTTATTCAAAGGACTCCTTGTGAATACACACTGAATAAACTTGTCGGATACTTAGCAAATGATTTTTTTTTCAAGGTTAAAAATATACTAACTACTCTGGTTCTGCTTCATAGAAGACTAAGCCAAAATTCCTGTCATTTCTCAATTGGTCTTAGATGTTACAAACCCCAAAGCACGCCATGCATTCTGAAAGCAGAATCTACTGACCAGCATTTCTCTGTCAGACCAGTCAGGGGGAAAGGCGCTCTCCTTAACTAGGTGATGAAGTATGGCAACATCAAAGAGACTTGATCCATGCTTCCCACTGTTCAGAACCGGCTCCAGGTATTTCCAAAATGTTTCCAGGTCTTTGATAGCTTCATCTTTCTTTCTTTTCTCTGCTTCTACAACTAAAACTTATAAGTATTAGATAAATCATGGTACAATGTCTTCCTTTTACAGAAAGCACAAATCATATATTAGTCTTCCATAAGTACTGTTAAAATATTCCCATCCTCAGAGCCTCAGCAAAAATCTGACACCCAACTTTGGGATTAAAAAACTCCAGGAAGATAAAGCTTCAGTAAAACATGGTAGTTCTTTCAGGAAAAAAACAAAACCAAGACCAGAACCACCCCCCTACCTCTCCCCTTCAAACTAAACAGCAGCAGTGAATGTTTGAAACCTAGGAAATGTAAAAATCCCAGGTTGCACTTTTTCAAAGTTGCCAGCACCTACCTTGATGAACATGTTCTTTAACTATAGGGTAAGCAAGCCGTATTATCACAATTTTATTGGCGTGGAAATTGGGGCAAAAGGAGATTAAGGTACAGTATGACTATGAATAGCAAGCCTAGAAGCTGTATGGTTTCCATTTTTACTGCATAGTAATCATCCATTTTCAAAGGTGCTCTAGCTACAGAGAAAAAAGAAGTTCTCTCTTAATGCCAACCTTACAATCACACTCTGGAATCCAAGATGAACCCTACTTTTTGTAGCCGAATTTAAGAGATGTAAGGACGCTAAGCCTGCAGTGACTTGCCTTCATTTGGACTTATGGGTGCTCAGGCACTTCTAAAAGCTAAATACGAAGGCCAAATACCTCACTTGTATAATTTTAGTGGCCCCATGGGTTTAAAACAAAACAACGCAGTGAGGCTGTGGACTCTTCCAAAAATGCTGATCTCCTGAAGGTTTTCCAAGTTATATGCGCCTCCTGTAGCAGCCATCAGAAACGTTTGCCAATGAACTCATGAAATGGTTTTATCATGATTTGGAAGATATTTCCCATTAAGTGACTCCAGAAACTGGGTAGAAGACCTGGGAACTCTGCCAAAAGATTCTGTAGGTATAAGACATTCTCATGAGTTCAAGGGGAGACTGAACAAGTACTTAAAAACCAGACAAACTAAATCCATCACAGGATTTAGACAAACACATCAGGATAATCCCCTGACTTGAAAATAAGTGGTGGCTAGATGATCTATGCATTGAGAAGTTTCATACATGCTTTTCCTACTACTCTTTTCCTTGGGCATCAGTTTATGAGCACTTCTGGAGGTAGATCACTGGCCTTGATCTTCAACAGTTCTATGCTCCTAACAGCTCACCTCAGTCACGGGATCATACTTTCTCTTTGTTTTTCATCTGCTCATGAAAGGTATCCTCTAATTCAGGACAAGACCTCACCTGTGGCAACATTCCCCTAACAAACTCAGCTTTGAAAGTACATCTCAGCAGTGTAACAGCATCGAGGGCTGCTCAGTCAATGGATTAATCTCTTTGCATTTTTGAATTTTGAATGGCACTGTGCTAATAGCATTGTAGCTAGACATTCCTGTTACAATAGAAAATTAATAACTTTTTACTAACTCCGTCCCATAGTTTAATAATAAAAAACACACAAAAATGTGTACGACACTTAGGTTTCCACTTTCACAGAAACATCATGGCTTGCCAAGATCAATCATTAGATGCTCTGCCTTTGACTATTGCCTCCCCTCTTAACTCTTTTGCCTTGCAGTCTTAAGGCTTTTCTTTCCTCAAGTATATTTTCATCATGTAAACCCTCTCAGAATGAATTAAAGCTTTCATGAGTAACCCCAAAAGAAGGTGCAGAAGCTGGGAGAAACTGTCGATACAGAAGAGATTTGGCAAAACCCCAGAGAGGAACTGAATTCAGTAATAGAACTGAGACAGTACCCAGCAGTACACTACATGATTTTGGAACAACAACAAAAAATCTGTTATCATCATATAACCATAGAAGAAAAACATCTAATATATACTAATACATGGCATAGTGATTTTGAACCATCACAGCGAAAACAGAAATCCTAGAATCACTAGGATGTGTCAGGTCACATATTTCTAGAACAAATGGAGAAAAATGAATTCCATTTTGTCAGGCTGAGAGATTAGTCTGAGTTCTCTCATTAGCTCTCAGAAAAGCTGAACTAGTAGTAACACAGCCACTAGAGTGATTAGAGGAACAGAAAACTAACATATGAAAGGGTACTAAGAGTGCTTGACTTGGTAACATCACAAAATGAAAGCCATTAGGGGATGCAAACACCTGGGAAGAAAAAGAACATGAAAGCTGTGGTCCCTAATCCATGATTCATGCGCATTCACGCTAGGAACAACAGAAACGCTGTAACATGATTGCATTTACAGGTTAACGTCTTCCCTTCTCAAAGTATCTCCGTACATTATTGAAATGATCAACCATGATCTGTTTTGTAAGTCATTCAGCTACGAAATACTTAAGTTAATGCCTGCTCCAAGGCACAATTAACTACATCTGTATCGCTGCTGACAAATGTTTGTCTTAATATAACCTTAAAAGCCTCAAAGACTCAATAATATTCCTACTCAGTCTACTTCAGTACTTCACTAACCTCACCTGTGGGAAGTTTCTTCCTGCTAATTTGTATTTTCTCTATTACAATTTAAACTCTTCATTTTGTGTTCTAGCCTTTTACAAACTTTATCATTTCTCCACTACATCATTCAGCCTTCTCTTCTTAAGTTTAAGGATAACAATTCCATTTTTTTTCCTCATAGGTAAAATTTTATAGATCCCTAATAATTTTCTTTTCCATCATTTGGAATTTTTCTGATTGGCATACATTTCTTACAAGGTCTTGCCTTACTACTGTGTTGCATGATAAGATCACTTCAGGTATTTTTTAGGACATTCTCATTTATAATCTGTAGATGGTATTTGTTTTTTAGTGGCATAGTGATATTGCTGACATGTTCATTTTTGAAGTCAGCATGATAGCTTATCTTTCAAACCTGTCATCTAGCCATCTGTTTCCTAGCCTTCATTTGTACATTTAATTATTCCTGTATAAGCATAGTATATTGTCTATATTAAACAAAAGTCTTTTTTCCAGATTATTATTCTCTATTCTGTCAAGAACATTTTGCATTTGAATCACACCCTCTTATTCCAATACCCATGACGATACCAAACAATACCAGACCCAGCACAAATTCCCTTGAGTCTGCTGCATGCATCCTTCTATTCAACAGCGCACCTCTAACAGCTACTCCACAGAGACCAAGATTTTTGAATGAAACTGCACCTACTACACATTTCTTTTGATCTAGACCCACCTTGCTCACTGCGGGCTAGGTAAAATAGCCTTATTAAAACCCAAATATACAACATAGACTACTCCTCTGCTCAGAAGATCAGTGCTTCACTTTGTAAAGAAATTAAACTTACCTGACGTGATTTGTTCTTGAACAGCATACACTAGCTGTTACTCATCTCCTCATTCCTCTTTTAAGTGCTTATAAATTATTTGTTCCAGTACTTTTCCAGACACAGAAATTAAGCAGATTACAGTACCTTGACTATTTATCTTCCTCACAACTCTTTTTCCACTGTCTCACTTGCTCTTTATGAGTTCTCAAATATAAATGAGAATGGCAGGCAGATCGTTAAACAGAATACAATCTAAGTTAATCTGAATCAGATGATCTGAAAAGTTCTCCACCTTACCTAAGTAGTACTCAGTTATTTTACCTGTTCCTCCACAATTTGAAGCTGAATCTTTCTGCTACCAGCATTAACTGTGGTTAGTTATAACTACCACCTGTCTGCAATTGTATTTGTAGTGAAAACAGATTAACCCCCCAACACACCTGCCAGCAAGTACCACCCAAAGCCCCCCTCAAACATTAACCCCTGCCAGCTGTCTCAGGACCACCTCCTGACAGTTATTCCTCTCTGTTGAGCAGCAGACAAACATTTTCCTTGGTCCTCCTCCTGCATCCCATTTTGTATCGTGGCATTTCTGATTTTGTGCCAATAGGCTCATAATAAACATATATTCTCATTCCTAGTGACCTGACCTATTTCCAATTCTTAAATGCTTCCTTATATCTGAGGTCCACAAAGAACGCATGGTTTAGCCAAGCTGTTTTCTTACTGCAACCTATCCTTTCTTAGTAACAGGGAAAGCTTGCATTACTACGTATAATACTACTTACACAAGATACTATCATCTATATTTACATTTTTCCCCTTTAAAAAGTTTGCTTACAAATTTTACTTACTAATTATCTAAGTTTACTGAACTCTTCCTGCTATTATACATACAAGAGAAAGAAAAGATAACATAACTTTGGAAATATTTGGGGAAACTTCCCCCTGCCCCCTCACCCCCAGCAGGTGTTGTAAATAAAATGAAAATAAACAAACCCCCGCTTTCTGCTCTCTGCACTTCCAACTACTTTCTAGTAAGACATTACCCTTAAATCTTACAAGTTCTAACAAAACTATAAGAACCTGGGAATTATGTTTTCCTCTCATGTTTTTCCCAGAGATAAGATGGCTCATCAAATTCAAACATGATGTTACTTCTTTGAGTCCATCAGTTGGGTTCTGTGATTGCCTAAGTCTTAAAAGCTCCATCTATGTGATTCACATTAGCACACCTTGGCACCTTTGGGGACAGCTTCCCCAGTGCCCACACAATCTAACCTGTAGCATTTGCAATGAGGCAATATGAGTATTCCATTTTGTCAACATGAACGGGAAAGAAGGAATAGCACGCTGAGATAGTTCAGCCTTCACAACACTCATAGGTGAATGGCTTATGTTCCTCAGTGGTCAGAATGGCAGTGAGTCACACCATCCCATCTCCTGTCCTTCAGCACTCCAACATAAACAACCCTTATAACCCTCTCTCCTGCCCAACATACCCAGGACACCATTCCTCCCATTTACTGGGTCGCTTGTGCCATCTCAACAGTGTCAGAATCCATCACAAGGGATTTCCCAGCACCACAGAGAACATTGCAGAAAGTCAATATGCACAGTTATAGTTAGAACCATAATTATTAGTCAAAAAAACACATATATGAACAATTATCGCAACCAACTCAGTTTTCTCACCTACACTTATTTATCATCAGACTGTGACTTAGATTTAAAATAATTCAGGTTGGAAGGGACCTCAATCTCCTACTCAAAGCATGGCCAACATGAAATTCAGACAACATGCTCAGGGCTTTATCTAGCTCAGTCTTGAAAATCTCCAGAGATCCCACAACCTCTACAGACAACCTGTTGCAACGCTTGACTGTCTTCGGGCTAATTTTCCCCACCTTATATCTTGCCAGAATCTTCTATTTCAATTACAGACTCACAGAATGGTTGATGTTGGAAGGCACCTCTGGTACAACTCCGCTGCTCTCACACTGATGAGACCCCTCTGTGCTTTCTCTTCTCCAGGGTAAACATTCCCAGCTCTCAGCCTCTCCTTGTGCACTTCCCTTGAAATTACCAAATGAGCCCCGTTTGTTTAGCAACACACCTTCCTGGCTAATGAGTCATAGAAGTACGCATTTGATAAAATGTTCTTTGGTAGCTGCTGCAGAAAACTACGGCTGCAACTGCTGCCTGCTTCGTCAGCCCCTCTTTCCACCATCCAGCTGAGGCAAGTTTCTGCACTGACCAAACCAATGGCAATATCATTTTTGCACTGGCAAATACAGCTGCTCACAGGTAGTATGCACAAACACAAGGCACAGAGAGGGAGAAAAACACAGCAGGAACAGTCTTTACTTGCATATAAAATAGTCTCCTTTCTACACAAGCTTTGTTCTTATGACCAGATTACCTTCAGGTGAAAGTAAGCATTGTTCCTGCAGTTTAGTTGCTTCCAAGTATGTCTGCAACGGCTTATAATTCTCCGAAGAAATTCTAATTACACTTGAAATGTTAATCCCAAGCTCAGACATCACAGGCAACAGCTGAGGGTTATGGAAATCCAAAATTATAATGTAATGATGGGCACCATCATCTGGTTCATCATCTGTTCAAAACACAACAAAACCAGATTAAAGCAAGGACGTTCAACAACTAAACAAAATTCTTTTTTTTCTTGACTATATAGGGATGCTGCAAATTAAGGGCAGAGAAACAGTTCTTTTATAACCTCATTGGGATAATTACATATAAGTTTAAAAACACTATGTGCACTAGACTGAAGTCTTCTGTAGCAAACCA